TTCTTCTCCTCACCTTTCTTCTCCTCACCTTTCTTCTCCTCACCTTTTGCCTCCCCCCCTGCCTCGCCATCTGTCTTCTTTGCCTTTTTTGCCTTCTTTGCTGGTGTCTTCTTGCCTTTCGATCTGTTGTTTGTCTTCTTCTTCTTCGGGGTTGCTCGCTTGGGCGGATCCGGGCTCTTCTCTGATGATGCTCGTTTTTGCCTGCACCTTCTTTGATGTCATCTTCTACACGCCCTACTGCCTCCGCGAATGCCTGGTTCAAATTCTTTGGTAAAATATGGTCTGGAGGCTCATCAGCTGGAACAACGCGAGCTTTTTTGGGTAGTGCTTCAAGTGCTTCTTCCACTGCTGCAGGTTTCTCCTTGCTTTCTCCTCTACCTCGCCCTTTACCTCGGCCTCGGCCTCTTCCCTTACCCGGTTTTCTCTTCTTGCTCTTCTTATCTCCGCCTTGCGAGTCGTCTGAATCGTACTCATCTTTGTATTCTTGCTCTGGGTCTTCTGCCATTGTGTCACGGATGGATCTGCGTAAGAGAGCTTGCGCCTGCCATCACGAACGATTGACAGTAACGATGATCATTTTGAACGACATGTGCACGTAGACATAGTCAGGGCTATAGCACTGAACAAACAATGAACTCACATGATATATTCAGATGCAGATGGTGCCTTCAGCAAGTTGCTTTCTACTTCTCTACCGTCTTTCGCTTCGATCAACATCTTAGTTGCTTCTTCGATCTGAGACTGTAAAGACTGGTCGCTGCGAAGGTCCCCAGGAAGATCGCAAAGTGGTTTCCGGTCCTGATTGGGAAAACATGTCAAGTATAACCAGTTAATGTGCAGTGAGTGCCACTCTGATATTTCAATGATCAATAGTATGCAGCAATGTCTATATACGTACGGTCCTGGTGAGTTCCTTTGGGTTTCACAGGCGCTTTTCCTTCTGCTTTGTGTTTCCTGTTGATCTCCTCATCTGAATCAAGCTCAACGTCAACTCCAACCGGTGATAGCCGTTCACCTGATGGCACGGGAATTGATGGGTGCGGCTTACTCACGGTCGCACTGGCCGGATCTACAGGTTGATCTGGTGGTGGTTCAACTGGTGGATCTGGTGGTGGTTTGATGGGCTCAGCAATACCGGTCTCGGCTTTCGTTTCCGCTTTGGTACTCTCAGTGCCTTTGCCCTGGTCACTGGCATTCTCCTCGGGTGGAATCAGGGGTGCGTCATCCTCATCCTCATGATATTCAACATGCTCGTGCGGAAGAACTGGTTCCACTACCTCGTCATCGGTGGGGGCTTCCTCCTCGGCCTGCTCTTTAGACCCCTCCCCTTCCTGAATCTCACAACCCACCTCAGCATCATCCCCAACTGCCATCAGTTGGCTAGCATCTTGAGATTCTGGCTCGAAGGGCGGTTGGCTGTCTGGTGGTGGGAACGATGAGTGTTGTGCCAAACTGGGTGACAACGGTACTGTTTCAGCCAGGTCAGGGGGTGCACCATGTGGGCCCGCATCACTTGGCCTACTCGCACTTGCTGACAAGTGTTCCGAGGCTTTGCTTCTATGAAATTTGCCCGACACTTTTGACACCTAGGCCAACAAATGCAATCAATTATTCGAATTATTGAAAAATATAGACACCAAAAATTGTTTCCACTATCGGCCTGAAAGGTTGATCTCCCACGGGTTGGAATCTTTTTCAAAGATTCTGACAATATTCCCCGCTCCTGGAAAATATGCATGACATATGCCACTCATCAACACGTCTAAAAGCAAATAGACACCGGTCGACATGAACTATCGTTGACACCCATGCTATTCATCGGTCCTGGCACTTTAGATATATGATGGACTTCAGGGTGTTCATCTTTTCATGGCCCTTCCTGCACAAATCGGAACGCGCGATGTGTTTTTATTTCATGCGCTCGATACACATGTGACTCATCTATGCATGTGCTACAAGGGTCATTGAAGCTCGCCTGACTTTGCGGCTCCGTTGGTACAAGTTCGACACGTGCGATGCCAGGGTGCGGATGAGCTTTGCCTCCACTCTAACCCATGCCTGGCTGGTGGCTTGGCGAAATAATCGGCCCGATGCAGATGATTGTCATATCAAGCCTGGAACGTCCTAGCGTCCTTTACTCCAGTGGATCGAGATTTAAAAAACCCCAATACTTTTGAATAGAACGTACATCATTGAACTAATTTTTGTCACACATCCCTCTTCCCTGAGCCTGGTGTTGGCCCGGACGGCGGAAGCGCGGATTGAGGTCATAGGTATTGTCCACGTGAGCAAGGGTCTCCTGCAGTATACAAATTCTAGCATGCGCATGTTATAACCTAGCAGCCTCACACATGAATGGTATTAATATATTGTCGCATGCCAGGACTAGGAGCTATGCGGGTTTGAAATGCTATGCTGACGTGTCTGACATGTCAAATGTCCTGAACCTCATGCATTGTGGGTAAATCACCAGCGAAGATACTCAAGTATTGCGCCAAGAAGTTGTAGTTGACATCGCGTTCAACCTTGCACAGAAAGCACGCTTGAACTGACCCGCGAAGTTAGTTTGTTGGATCGATATTGACAATTGACTCATCATGAGGGCTTTGTAATGGCACGGCCTCTGACTCGCTCACAGTTTCTGCCCCCACGAGATCCACGAAGGAAAAGGCCTACGACGACGCGCTTTTGTAAAAGAGATTTATTGTGCACGCATGCATCAGCTTTTAAGCACATGTCCTGCCTTGGATCCCTTCTGTGCTTTGATGTCAGCTCTTCGTTTATTGATGAACCCTTCAGCTTGGCATAGCCCTTCAAAGAAATCCTAGCAATGAAACTTTTGTTTAAGATTGAACATGCTCTGCAATGCAAGACCTAACGCTCACACCTAGTTGATATATGAATTCGACCAACTATTCTCAGGATCATTGCCAGATAATCTAGCTAACTGATCTCATCTAGTCTTAAGAGGTCCAATTACCGCCCAGCTCCGTCCTTCAAGAGGTCAACCCTCTCCATGTTCATCCGGCTTTTGCGGCGCTGCAGCACCATAGCAGCACAAATCGGGCAGGAAGGGCGTTAAAGTTGTAAAATCTAGCTGGCATGTTTAATTAAGATAATTAAGATGGATCCTCATCAAGCCAGGCCAGAGGGCCCCACAACTTCGTCCGGTCTTGAGGCTCAAAACGTCCCTATGCAGGTTTCAGTTCCAACCTTTGAAGCTTCCGGATCCGAGATTTGCACGGATACCGCAAAGAAAAATTACTTATGTCAGTCGAGCGGGTTGGCACCTTCGCATCGTGGTTCCAGCTCAATCTCGTCGCCTGATGAGTTCCAGTAGAGCTCGTCCTCATGGCCTGCATGAGCCAGCAATCAAGCATTGGGAGGTGAAGCATGGCGATCATTCGAAGTCAATCATGTCATGAACAGTGAACTTGACCAAAAAACATCACGCATGGTCGCGATATCACAATAGACTCCACCGTGCCTTCCAAGCACCGCTTGCGCTTCGGCATGCCATAGGGCACCTGGAGTAGCCAGCTGGACTCCCGACTATGAGATATGACACTTTCCCCAGATCTCAATCACAATAGTTTAGAACATCATCATATTCCATGGGTACTCAATAACAAACGGCCTTGCTTGTAAAGCGATCCCCCTTCAGAGTCGGAGACGCCGGCCTTCAAGCCAAGGTAGTGCACCACATGGCGGCAGAGAGGGAAAAGCGAGCACCGACCAACGATCGACCAAACATGGGATCGACATGGATGGACGGATTTCTGAAACATGATCATGCCATTGGAACAACATGTGCTCAATCAGTTATTTTCAACATTGATCCATGAATGGTCATGAAGCCTGGCCCCTTGAACTGGCAAAGTTCGGGCGCCCACGTCAAAGTATCAACCATTTATGAAGACGAAACTTTGCCTATCCTTGGACCGTGTGGGTATATATATATAGACCCCAAATAGATAGAAAATGATAGAAAAGTAGATCCCCACTCCAAATGTTTTGCATACCATGCCACGGCTGCCACGCTCATCTATTTGGGGAGCACACCTGTCTACATCTCCACCTCTACCTCAAGCGCCCGCTACTCACCGCAAACCACTGAGGTGCAAGTACACGCTCTGCCAGGACCGGGTCGACCGGATCGGCCGAGGCGACCGGGTCGCCCCAGTGGGTTGACGACCACGCTGGGTGCGTGGGTGTGGGTGCAGGTGCGCCGCTGAGGATACTCGAAGCACGAGGTCACAAGTCGAAGCGCTGGTGTCCAAACGGGGGGAATTCACTGAACGTGGGCAAAACCTGGATCTTCGAAACGGCCACACAAAATAGGAACCCACAGACGGCGTTTTCTTTTGTTGGGACAAGGGCGGAAACATGCGGAAACCAGAGGAACCAAAATGATCTGCATGAAATCAGACGTCCGAGCGACGTCTTGAGCATAGCAAGTGCAACCCTTGAAACGTGTGTGAAAAATGCGTCTGGCAAGAACTTTATTAGGCCGTTTGAAGATCCAGGTGTATAATCTGATGTTTCCCTGCTGTGGAGGCTAGGTCCGGATGTGGACACATTCATGCATGACACATTTAACCTACGTTTTGGTGGTTGTTGAAAAGACTGTTTATGGCCAATCCCTAAATGAACCACCACTTGGGATTTCAGCCATTCGAGTCTTGACTCATTGGTGGGGGATGTATCTTCCAGTGTGATGGATGGTCTGGGTTTGGAGCAGCTCGTGGACTTTTTAGGGGTTGACAATCGCATATCAGGCTACACAGGTTAGCAGCCCTTCGCACAAAACATATCACAGCAAGGTAAGAAGATGTAACCCAGACACTCCATGTATGCCATATATGTCTACATTGACCCCTCAAACCACCCCAATGTAGGCATATATGGCATACATGGAGTGTCTGGGTAAGAAGGAAGGCCTGAGTTGCGTGGTTGCTCCTCGGGGCGCGAGCTTGAACTCTGTGGCATGTGAACGTTTTGTGAGATCCATGCCATGTTTGAACTTCATGTAGGCCTAGGCAAATATGACGACCAAACGGTTTGGTTCTATAGTGGTGAATGGCAGAATTCTGCTTTGACTTAGATGCCTCATGGGCATGCTTCAAACCATTTCTCCCTCACCAGCGGCCAGCAACACTGATATACTTTATGGCATTCTATCGACCAACACCCCACTATACGTGAAGAAACCGCTGGCCCACGCTCATTTGACTGGGCAGGACATTTGGATGGACGTGGTCATGAAGCTTTTTGCCGTGTCCTTGGTTTCCGCCGTCTCAGCCTCCGCAGTCTCAGCATGGAAGTGGTCGGTGGCGCTGTGCGGGGCTATGGCGGTCTTGGTGTGGGTCACCAGGCCCTACATGCAGCCACAGGCGAGCCGGAGCGACACCGACTAACATGGAACCGGGCTTGGCATTGACCCTTGGAAGACGCTTTGTCCTCTACAACCCAGTGGCTTTCAGATTCCATTTTGCAGGGATCTACATTTGGTTGATGAGATGGATGGAGTTGGTGATAGTCGGTGATAGTTGGAGTTGTTCATCCAAACGCTTGGTCGACCTGGGCCGCCGAGCCGGCAGGCGTGGTTGGTCCGCCAGCCTCAAAGATCATCCAACCGAATCGGGCCTTCCAAAAGCCATTTGTTTTCCTCAGATAGTAGACCCATCCCGACATCAGAACCAATTCTCGGCCAAGCCCTATGTGAACCGGACTTAGAACTCGCCCCTCGAGTTCTTGAGGGGATATCTATGTGGATCCGAGAGCAGGCGTCAAAGTTCCGGCAGGTCCTTGTTCATATGTGGGGCATGTCTATACCCCTAGGGCTCCAGGCGTACCTCCTCAGAAGGGACCCTCCAAACCCACCTCAAACACCTTCTTAGAAGGCACTTGGCTCCCTAGGGTTACCATAGTTTACCATATTAACGTGTTCCAAGTTTGGACGTGCAGTCTAAGACACCCAGATGGCCCGGCATGTCACCTGAACGCTTACCCATGCATGGCACCACCTGTTGGGTTTTCGGACCAATGTAATCTTCCTTTTCTTGGCCACAATCATTCCACTTCTCGAATTAATTTGCAAAAAGAGTGTAACAATAAAGAAACAAGTTGATAAAAAAACACCATTATTCCGATGTCTTAGCAACAGTTCTTTCGTTCACTTCACAGGTGAGCACCCTGCAAAGCCTTAGCTGCTTGAGCTTGGCCGCGACCTCAGTGGCTTTCATCTACCAAATGCCCAACCTTGCACGTGCCGCCTTGCTGACCCCTTTGCTTTTGGTGCTCCTACAGGCGCGGAAGTTCAAGAAGGTGTTGGTTTTCGGAATCAGGAATCACAAGCGCACCATCAACGGGTTATATATATATAGATCTATATATAACTAATATAAATACTGTATACTATATACGACATGAATTTGATGCAATATAGATATGTTGCTATGTATATATTTAATTATATCTAAATAATGACGTGTGATGTCTATGTATGAATTTTGTTTCAACTTGGCACCCTAACCCACGAGAAAAAATAACACCGCACGAAGCAGCTCAATGACTTCCCAACGACCCGCCCCTGTGCAGAACGTCGGATCTCCCCCAGTGCCGACGGCACCAGTTCTCTTGGCCATCTCCCCCAGAATGTCAGCGACGACATCATATGGACGTGTAAAAGCTCCTATAGTGGATTGAGAGTATAGGGCAATTCCCAAAAAGGGTGTTTACATCTTGCGTAGACCACCGTTGAAAAGACATCTTGTACCTTGAAATCACTGTACAAACTGCGTAGTTTGTAGAGGCAACGTCGCCCTCGGATGCTGCCCATGTTGTCTCTCAACAATGGTCACCATAGATGTCGCCCTCTTATATATACAAGACATAATTACATTGTACCCGGACCTTTCAAAGACCATTCGTTTCTGGTTACATCATATCAGAACAAGGCGAAGGAGCAGTTGCAAAAAGGGGTGCCGAACTTGGACGATAACAATGTCCATTCTCCCCTCACCTACTTGTAGGGTCTTAAAAAAACATTTCATTTGGAACTGCTGTTTGCTGGCAAACCTTGTGGTTTTGGTCGCCCTGTGGTACGGTGGTTGTGTGGCCAGGCATACGGCTTCATGAGGCTTCCGCAGTCGGATTGACACAAGAAAACCATGGGAAGAATCAACCTTGGAGCGTTCTCCATCCGTTCTCCCTCGGAGGGATGGGCACAAAGGGGAAGGCTTGTTTGAGAGTGTTTGAGTTTTTTAGCACGGGAAAGGTGTGAGTCTGGAGTCCGTGCCGGAGAAGCCAAATGAAGCTGAGCTTCTTCCAGCCAAGCTACTCCAACATTTTTACTGTCGACATCTATCGACCTGGCTTACAGAGCATTTGGGGGGGACAATTTTAGACACAGGTTTGACCTGTGTGTCTGGCGCTGTGCACCATGTGGCGGGTTGAACGTGCCTTGGTCGTGCGCCGTTTGGTGCCTTGCGCTGCCTCGGGCAGGTGCGCTGCCCTGATTGTGAAGAAGCCTTAGCCGAGCGATGCTACGAGGAGATCGATCCATAGGATTCCATCCGAACATGTTCTGTAGACTCGAAAAGCAATCATAAACCCATACTTTAAAGGGTTTTACAGTCTAAATGGGGGGTTGATGAACCAAGAGTCTACATTCATGGTTTTATCCTGTTCATTCACCAGGGCCCAGGGCCAAAAAGTTGTTTTTGATTGACCCATTGACTGGTTGCCGTGTGCGTGCTCGGATTTCGTGTTAGTTCATCATGCGAACACAGTGAAGTAAGTGGACTATGGCAACGCGCGGACCGAATAACATCGGGAAAAAAGGGGTGGCGGAGAGTTTGAAATCGTGTCGCTTTGGATTTAGGTGTCTTCAGTCGATGATGCGACAGGTGCGATGGCTTACAATCTGGGGTTCTTGTAGGGGATAGAAGAGTGGAGAAACTAGATGTGGATGTAAGGGGGTGCCTGGTGGCACATTGCAAAAAGGGGTGCCGGAGAGAACTTTGTGCCGGAGAGAATGTGAGAGAGGCTGGATACAAGCAATGCTTGAGAAGATGGAGGATAAGCTTCAAAGAGAGAGAGAGAGAGAGAGATGAAGTGGATGTGGATAGATGGATGCTTGTAGGGCTACAGAATTTCTACCGATCTCGGTACCCTGGACCACTGCAGAAACACAAAAAACAAATAACACGAACCTTGAACCCCCAAGCTACCGCAACACGCCGCGTTTCTGCGTTTCTGCGTCGCAAGGACTTGGTGGCTGAGTTGCCGAAGCTGCAGCGTGGGGAGCCGCATCAGCTGAACGTGCAACTCTTGCGCTTCTGACGCGGGCGATGTGGGGTCATGACACGCGCAGCTTCTGAACTGAGTGCAGCACCCAAAAAACATCCAGGGGAGATCTTGTGGTGCTCAAGAGCGGCAACAATGCCGGAAAGCTGCACGTTGTAAGACCCCAAAGTCGTTGGTTTTGGCATCTGCTAGCGCTCTTGGTTACAGTAGGGAAACGAGGTCACACCTGGTCAGTTCTGGTCACGGGTTCCTTGTATGTGCCTTTAAACCAAGGATCGAGCTTCATTGTCGATCGTGTTCTTTGGAGAGAAATTTTGAACAAACACGTATATAATATAGCCATCCATCATCCATCTATGGAATATAGTTACTTAGCACCCAAAGCAAAGCAAAGGAGATTCCATGACCCGGGTCATCTAAAGCTCATTCTGAATCGAGCCTCGCGATCACCTCGCACTAGCCATCCATCCCCGCTTCGGACACTCCGTCTCCGTCTCCGTCTCGCACGCTTGGCACTGCACTCCACTCCCCTTCACTCCCGTCTCCGTCTGCTCCGTCGTCGACTCGGCTAGGCCACCTATATGCACCTGGGCGGCATCCGCCAGCAGAACTCCCACCCAGCGTTGAAGTCCCAGCGCCTCGGTCCCGCGGACGTCGTACGGAAAGGCCGTGCGCCGTTCGGCTCGGGTGGAACGGTTGGTTCTTCTGGACGTGGCCCTTGAAGTGCACCATCGCATTATATCCTGATAGCCTCATTTATTCTACCAGGACCCTCCTGTCGGCGTGCCCTGTCTGGAAGCCTATAGGTAGTGTGGGGTAGTCCAGCCAGGACACCCCGACAGGAGGGTCCAGGTATATATGATGTTTATTGTTTGTTTGTTTAATATGTTACAGGTACCTGGAGCGTTTGGAAAATGAGAACGCTGGACATTTTGGACCTCGTTCCCACCGTAGCCACGTAGTTGGGGTGCACCCATATTTGTGCACAACCAAGTTGAACGGGAACATGTTCCTTTTCCTAAAGCCCGGCAGAATACGCTCCCAAAGGTGCCGTTCACATGCTTTCACCCACAGAACCCCTTAGACTTTAGATGATGTTGTCTCTTTCAATTCCAAAGTGCTAGGTGGCCACAAGGTCTCCAAACCGCAAACCATCCCTGGTGACGAAACATAGCCGTGAATGTTCCCTGAATGTGTGGGTGTGTGTATGTTGTTATTGTTTGTATAAGAATGTAGGCCTGATCATCCAATGGGTGTCCAATAGACTACCTTACACTGCAATAAGGGACATCCAGTGGGCACCCAGACAGGATGATCCTGGCGTGTTGCGTTCCTAAATTATGCCACTTGCCATCACCCACCCACCATCTATGATCCATCTGTTTTCCATCTCAGAACCACCCGAACTGAGTGGTGCTTCCCAACGGTTTGGGCTTCCCCTCCCCAGGAAGCCCACTGTCTCGGACGCGCTCTTCTCGGCGAATGGGGAACGGCTCTTTCGCGGGCTCATCGCGCAGATTTTGGCGCCATGGCTGGTGAGATGAGAAGCAGAGAACACCTCCAGAATATCCATTGAGGAAGGGATAGTCAGACCTTCTCGGAAGGTACTTGGAGCCCTAGGGAAGGGATGGGAAGGGAACCCTTTTTCTCAACATCTTCGGTGGGTGACCATGTTGAATCTTTGCTTGGACTCAAAGGGGATCCCCGAACCGCTTCCAGTTCGTAGGTCTGTTTAAGGGCTCCAAAAAGAAACACCTGCGACCTGGAAGTGAAACAAAAACCCAGGGATCTCCGGGGATTTTCATCCAGGTCGCACCTTCGTCCTCAGATCCGGGGGACACCCCGGAAGGAGACCCACAATGTGAAGACCTTGGAAGACCTATTCTCGTATGCCACCTATGCCGATCAGTTGGGGTGGTGGACCCGGGGTCAATGGGGCGGCATATATACCAGTCCCATGGAGTGTTTGGGATAGTTTTGCACTACCCAGTGCTTTTTAGATGTGGTTCCATGTCAGTCTACCAGGGCGTATTTCTTCCAGGCTTCTTCGCCCACCTGGGAGGGTACGTGCCGCAGACTGCTTCTTCGGCCAAAAATCAACTCTCACCGCTTGGCCCGGCGTTGGCCTCAGATAAACCAGGCTCAGAGCATCGGGTGCTGGTCCGTTGCTTTGGCCATATTTGGATATATTAGGTCCGACTCATGAGGTCACCCGATCACCGTCAGGAGGGAGGGTATGTGTGGATCCGACTCAGACTCTTGATTCATAAACGGAAGAAGTTCTTCAATCCACATGGGGTGGGTTTATAAATCAAGGGTCTACATGTTAAATTCTGTTAGACCCTCGATTTTGATTGAGGCCCTCATAGTTTCATTGCGAAGAGAGGGAGACAACCGACTCATGAGCCGGTGAGCCTGCCTCGGCGTCCGGCGGAGAGCGCTTTTTGGCAAACGCGCTTTGTTGAAGTCCTTTTACGCGTTTGGCGCCACCCAAAGAAGCAATCTCAGCGGACCTTAGGCTTCCAACCACCATTGATTTGATAGCCCGGTCATCTCGAACAACCATGGTTTTCGCAGATTTGATGCCACAGGTCAACCAGGTCAACCAGGTCAACCATGTCTGGTCTTCTCAGAACGCTATGGTGTTCCTTGCCTCTCAGGACCTAGACCCTGAGTTGCAGTACGAGGCCGGGTTCCCTGCGTGGGAAAACGAAAAAGAAAAACGCGCGTGACGCGTTGTTTGGCGCGACTTCATGGAACCTGGCATGGTCTTAGAAGTGTTGGGATTGCCCATCGATCCGTACCGTACCTGGGGGTTTAAGATTGTGAAAGGGAACATCGCTAGAGGAAACCACGGTGTTCATCTCCAAAACTGATGTTCTTTTTGAAAGCTGGGAGTCTTAGGATCTGGGCCCCCATCTTTAGCAGCCTCATCATGAGCAACCCGGTGGAAACCACCCACAGGTCGTGAAGAGCGTGAGCAGTACGGAGAGGGGCCGCTGCCTCTTTATCATCAAGAACTCCTTGATCTATCAAGCTCGCTTGGAACCTTGGCAGTGCAGAAGCATATGCCGTTTCTTCCTGCACCAGAACGGAAATTGCTGATTGTGCCATGCTCATGAGCAGAGGGAAAGATGAAGTATATCATGCCCAGGAAAAGTGGATAACCTTTAGCCTTTGACCTTTTTTTGGGGGTTGGCTTCCCCACTAAACATGAACAGTGGGTGTAAAAAGAGGATCTGAGAGAGGCTGATATAACTATTCATTGGATTTGTCCCAGGACACCAGTAACAGTTGGTATACAGGAACATCACTATTTTAGAGATGGAAAGGCTTGCACCCCAACCATCATCATTTTCTTGGGCCCTGGTAAAAAGGATATACCCCGGACACTCCATGGGACTGCCATATATGCCTACATTGACCCCCCAGGCACCACCCCAACTGATCAGTAAATATGCAAGTCCCATGGAGTGAGTACCATAACATACCCAAACTCTTCAATTCAACGTCTGGGCGAGCTTGGACACCTTCCGAAGCCGGTCCGACCCGACCCAAGCGCCACGGAATCGGATGCGCCACCCACACCGGCAGACGGGGGGAGTGAACGCGAGACGCGGCAGTGCTTGGAAGAAGTCAAGGCATGTGTCACAGTGTTCCTCGCAAAGGGCAAACGAACCGGTGCATGATGCATAGACACGTACATTGTAGTTCCATTATGTTTCATTGAGTGTTGTTGCCCATAGTTTGGGGTTCCGTCCTTTTGTTGTTGTGTTCTTTTATTACTTATTGTGTCCTCCATCTCCATCCTTGTTGCTTCCTGTTTTTTGGAGCACCGGGCGCCCGGCACTCCATCCTCACCCCAGTGATCCTCCGTCCGCTCTGGCCTCGCGCCGCCCAAAACGATCCTCAGAGAACGACGCCGAGGCGGGCGACGCGAACACGAACCCAGACACGACCTGTCGGACTGGCCTAGTTGCCTCTCCATGGGGTGGTGGATCTCGATTGGGGTGGTTGATCTCCATTGGGGTAGTTGATCCATGTGGGGCCGCGTTGTTGTCATGTGGGGCCGCGTTGTTGTTCTTTTTTCTGCTGTCCCATGGAGTGTTGGGGAAGATAGACAATGTCACAACAAAAATCTTTGCATGCACCGGCAATTCTTGGACGCTGGTGGTGTTTCCCTAAGGAGTTGGAGGCTTCACAACGTGTGATCCATATCTTCGAGCAGGCGCGACTGATGGCGGTCGTAGTAGAAAACCCCAGGTCACAGGGTCGGCGTTCAGCAGGAGCTGAAGGGTGGGGTGTGTCGGTCATTGTTTGGGTTTGTCCCTTTAGACCAGTCAGAGTCGGTCAAGAACTTTCGCATAGTTTAGAGATGTCGGCCTGCAACCATCATCATCATCATCATCCACTGCTGCAAGGCTTGCAACCTAACCATCATCATCCACTGCTATAGGCTATGGGATAATACCATGATATACCAATTATTGACGTGAGGAGTTCTTTTGGACCATCTGTGACGCAGTTTTCGACCTCCGTGCCGAAATCCACCGCTGCAGTGATGAAGCTGCCTGCATGAAGAAGCTGCCTGCATGCCAATGTAAGACGAGTGGTACCCAATTTCCATCATTTTGTGCCAGAGGCGGGATGCCATCAAAGTGTGATTCCCTATAAGACAATGGCTACAAGAAAGAGCAGTGGCAAGCTGTCCGCCTCTGTGACGCAGTTGTTCGACCATGAGAGCATCATCGACCAGACGAGACGTGAAAGTTCAAGTGGCGAACATGATCTCGATCTCTGGGCCTTGTTTGCAGCCCTTGTCTCCACCATACTTGCTTGATATCCTTCCACTGTCAGAACTTCCACCTCCATACACCCCAAACGAGGAAAACCTGCAGTGGTGGAGCTGCATTTTGAGAAGTGGGCGGAGCAATGCACGGGTTCCAGTAACAGTTGCGGATCGGTGATGGCCACTGCAAAGCGGAAGCCGAGAATGAAAGCATCTCCACCCGCCTGAGAAGAAAACAAGTGGTGTTTACGGTCGTTAATGCTGAAATCAGCGGGAATTTTTCACAGATGTGAATTTGTTTGGTGCTTATTGATAGCCTCCACAACACTCTCCTATAGAAGCTTGCAACAAGAAACCAGCCTCTTGTTTGGCACTCTTCGCGCTCTATCCTGCGCGGCAGGATTTAGGAGAAGTCCAGCGGCAGCTGAAAGAAGGACCGCTCTGGTGGGTGGTGCAATGGTGGACTCAGCCTATCCTTACCTGCTGGGTCTATTCACATGGACCCGACCTGCGGACAGGATGTTCCTTGACAAGACGGGTTTGCAGAGCCCATGTGGTTTTCTGCAGGGGTCAACAACCTGACAATCAGAGTTTTGCCGAGGGAGTCTGAACCGGATTTGCAGGAGTATGGAATTGTATATTTTGTATATATATATATATACACATATACAAATGTATTATATATGTATTGCGTATATATTACCATGTCCCCGGCCACAATAGATGTTGGGGATTTGAACACGATGTCCAGTGACTTTAAAGTCAAACATCACATACTAAAAAGGCGTCAGACATGCACCTCAGCACCTGAATGGATTTTGGCTTCTGGCAGCACCTGTCTCGGATCGATGTTTTTCAGGAGCTCAACGGAAGGGGGCGGCTTTGGAAGCTTCCAAAACGTCCACCGCAGTGCCTGTTTTCCCGATTTCCTTCGGCAGGAGGGCCGCTGTTTCCCTTGGCCGGGAAGCCTCCCAGTGAACGCAGCTCCTCCTCTTCCTCCAGCAACCTGGCGAAGAAAGGGAGACAGACCAAGGGAGACTGGTCCGGCGGCCAGGGCCACGATCCCTCCAACTAGCCAACAATTCCTATATATTGGTACAATTGATATGCTACCAAAATCAATTAAATCATCAAAAGGGGCGTTTGGTAGAGTTTGCAAAACTGTTTGGAATGTGTCAGACACATGGCATCAGAGACGAGATGAGCAATCCTGTTAATTTGCAAAAGCAAGTTGTCGAGTTTGTTTGTAGCAAGGGTCCCAAGCAGATACTTGCTTTTGAAAGGCCCTTCACCATGAGGCCTGCTTGGCAGTTTCCATGTTTTTTCTCCCGATTCTTTGTCACAGGTTTGGGTCAGGGTGGAACCTGGTCGACTCAACCTGGTAGATGGCACGGGCTCCTCGGCTGAGGTGCAACGGAGGACGGGAATATTGGGCTGTGGAGGAACGTAGACATTGGAGTCTTTCCAAAGGGAAGGGAAAAGAACAGGTTGCAAAACCTCAGGGCAGCAAGGCCAACAAAATGACATGATTCTACTTTCTTCCATGGATTCAGCCGTCCATGACAATGTGGTTATCAGAAGACTTTTGGTCTTGATTTGAGGCAGCATTTTTTGGCTTGTTGCGCACAGCAACAAAACCCGACGGCTTTGGAGCAGAGCCGGTTTCTCATTTGCAGGCCTTCATTTGGTTGCACCACGCAGGAGCACAGAAAAGGAACATTCATTGAAGCAAAGAGCTGCGCTCCCGACGCCTCTGAAATCTACTGCGCTGAAGATGTTGCTGCCTTGCCTCGTTGTCGTCCAAAGTTTCGCCAGGCTATGATGTGTAGCTGCTGGCCGCACGTCTACCCAATTGGCAGCAAACTAGGCCACAAGGCTAGTGAGTGCAGGTTTAAAGGAGGAGGCCTTTCTCGGAGGCAATCAGACTTCTGGGTGACAGCAGCAAGCCGAAGCGGATTGCTCGGGTGCAAGCTTGGGCTACACCCTCCGTGACACCGTCGATGCAAAAAAGCCCAGGTATCACAATATTCATCGCAAGGCAGGAAGCTACCCTTTGGCAGACAAGAGGGGTGCATCCAGCAAAACAGTTGGTTGGGAATTGAGGTGGGAAATAGTACAAGATCATGGTACACTTTCTTTTTACTACTGAAGTCGTGGATTTTTAGTTTGCGGGCAAACTCAGAGACATTTGCTGCTGAATATTTTTTGTTCCAGACATGAACTTGATCAAAGTTGTGAGATTCACTGTCCGTATATATATATATGTATGTTTGTCAATTGATTTCAATGAGGTTTCCTTTGGAATTCATAAGGGGGTTGGCCGAGTTGTCAATCAAGCAGCCACCCCCAGCAGTGGTCATATGTATTTTTCAAGGAATGCCAAGTGGGTCATTGGAAAACTACCAGGCGTTTCACCCGGGATGCAAACTCTCGACTCAGTTGTTGTTGGGTCTGAAGTGAAGAAGACCGCTAGGCCGAAAGAAAGACAGAAAGAAAGACGCCCCGCAGAGGAAGCACACGGCACCGCCTGCTTTGTTTTGTGTACCGTGTCCACATTGCTTTACAACTCCATGGTGGAGGGAGCAAGACTGAAACACTGATCAAGATCAAGGACTTTCTTCGGCCATGCAAGAAATCCGTTGATGACATCTGTGATCGTGCTGGAGCCTGCCTCCCAAGTCCATGTAAATCGAGGGCTGGATGTTCACCTGCAGGGCCCATGGACCAGAAGCCCCGCTCACCACAGGAGGACGCCCCAACACCCGCGCTGAAACTGCAGCGCAGGCGCAGCCTGGCCAACCCCACGCGCGGTCGGGCCAGCCGCGCTGTGGTTGCTTCACGTCTCCAGCAGCGGTTCCGCGCGGCATATACAGGCGTTCATCCGTCCTCGGACTCCAGGTCTTAAGGGACCACGTCTCCGTCACGCACCCATCTTGTTCATGGTAAATCGGTGATCCTTGGGTAGAACACCACGACAGATCAATCCGAACTCCGAAGCCTTTGTGCCATAGAAAACACCATAAAACACCAATTCTGCAGGGGCCGGTGGAGGAGCTTGCTCAGCTGGAGCCAAACCACCCAGCTGCCCATGCTTCAACCTTTGCGACTGGAGGAGGGAGGGCGACGAGAGGCAGAGTCCCCAGTCTCCCCGACGTCCCGGGGAAGCGTCGACCAAGAGGCCGCTGGTGCTGGGTGGGTGGGGAGCAGGAGGTTGAGCTGGAGTCTCGGTTTCGTAGCGCGGACCATCAGTAGAAATACATAGAAATAGACCATCAAAGACCTGTTTTATAGGGTCGTTGGCCATTTGTTCAAGATCCTTTGGAGGGTGGTACTGTATCTCGGTTGCAGAGCTTCATGTCGACAATCGGATTATGTGGTTTTTAGAGTCAAACCCTCGCCCCGCTTGGCAAAAGGAGCTAAGCGTCCTTGGAAAAGCCATAAAGCCACTTAGTGGTTATTGCCCTAGATATAGACTTCAGTGATAATGATAAAAAGATCAAAGTTTGCGCTTGGTGAATTGATCACGAAAGCTAGCATGCTAGCTGAGTTCTTCTTTGCTTTAGCAATGTTGTGGTGGGAGGGGCTGCGTGCCTTAAAGATTGATATATCAAGCTAGCCCCGCCCCCCCCCCCCCCCCCGCGGTTCGACTCCCAGCTGCGCCGTGTAGGGGGTTGGTTGAACGTGGTTGGTTGGGTGTAAACGGTGGCTTGGTGTAAAGGGTGCTGCTGCTGCTGCCGCTCTGCTGCTTGCTGCTGCTGCTTGCTGCTGCCGCTGGTTGCTGCTTTTGTAGCTGCTGCTTTGCTACTTGTTGCGGCTGACGACGCCGCTGCTACTGCTGCTTGCTGCTTGCTGCTGCTGCTGCTTGCTGCTTGCTGCCGGTGGTGCTTGCTGCCGGTGGTGCTGCTGCTGCGGCTTGATGCTGCGCTGCTGCTGCGTGGTGCTGCTGGCTGGCTGCTGGTTGGTGGTTGCTGCTGGCTGCAGGCGGCTGCTGCTGCTGCTGCTGCTGGCTGCTGCTTGCTGCATAGGACTTGTACTTCACCGTTACAAGTTGTTTACCCCTATTTCTAACCTAATGCATGCATAAGCGGGTGGTAAATTTACCCCCCAGGCTTGCTATAACCATACACCGGCTATTTCCTCAAGACACTCTACTCCTTATACCTTTTACCAGTGCTTATCCTACACTACGGACGCCCTAGTGTATGCACAGTCCTTGTGATGCCAGAAATGCCTACCCCTCTTTCCAGCACAAGGCATACATAAGCGGGGGGTAAATTTACCCCCCAGATTTGCAATAACCATACACCGGCTTTTTCCTCAAGACACTCTATTCCATATACCTTTTACCCGTGCTTCTCCTACACTACGGACGCCCTAGTGTATGTACAGTCCGTATGATGTCAGAAATGCTTACCCCTCTTTCCGACTCAAGGCATACAAAAGCGGAGGGTAAATTTACCCCCCGGATTTGCCGATCACGCATCTTCGTGCCTGCCAACGAGTGCACCCGGGTTGTTCCAATGTACCCTTCCCAGTCAGCGATGTCACATTTACGTTCTTTAGCGCAAAGTATGTACATAGCAACCTTCCTCCCAAAACATGTAATCCCTACATGCTTTGCCGACTATGTAACTATCATCCGGTGCGATTCGGCTAGCTTTCGACCTCTCCCCCTGGCCTCAAGTCATGTTATTCCCAGCCCACCGTGCACCAAGTTTGGTCGCACATGAAGATCTGCGATTCGCGGTGTTGGCAGGGTGAGCCGATTCAGAAGGTGCGCAGCCGAAGAGCAGGAGCCGCTTGGCGATGAAGAGACTTGCAGGGTGCGAGGATGCAAGGACGCAAGATGCGAGGAAGACGAGGGAAAACGCCAAAGATGAGGACAAAATAGCAAGAGTTACAGGCGAGAATTATTGGAGTCAAGGAACATATTATGCAAGAGTTTGGGCTGAGAATGGTTTGGCAGCGTAAAGCTTTGTAGGGCTAGCGGCTAGCAATCGCAGTGGTTTCTAAGCCCAGTTGGTGGTTCTTTTGTTGCCTGAACTCGATCAGCTTACTGTACTCCAATGATCTCAAGTGTTGTGAACCACCGTGACGCCGCACGCCGTACGCCCTTTGTCCATTTGCTTTAGGACTCGTCTGTTCGCCGGCCGGACGACGCGATCCACGGAAATCGCCGCGGCGATCGACGACGCTCCCCAGATGCGTGGCTTCTTGGCCTTCGCCGACCAGATGGCGCGCGCCACGGCGCGCCGGCCCACGGTGCCTCCGAGTGGGGTCGCGATCGCGTGGAGAACGTGGAGAACGGGACTGAAGTGGGGACCAGTTCGAACACATAACGAGGACCTTGACTACAGCACGTTTTTCCTTGAAGTGTTAACTGGCCCAACACTTGAGCATCATGTGTATATAATGTTTGTGTTAATGTGTGTTGATCAGCGGATGAAACCAAGAACATCACATCCCCTATGATTAAACCATGCGCTTGGAGGTACGGGTCGCTCAAAAGAATGGAACCACTCTGGAGGTCTCCTTGGTCCGGCAGTTGTTGACATGACCATGACCCGCAGTTCGACCTGTGGAGCTGCCGGACGGCTTCTCGAAACGGCGTGTGCCGGATCAATGTATCTATGGCAGTCCCAGACAGGTCGTGTTTAGGTGATCATGTGACCCTTTGCTGCCGGTGACCGCTACGGAAGTCTGAGTTTCGACGCCACGACATCCACCGCTTCGAAGGCACCCTCCTTCGCCCCTCCTGAAGCCGAAGCGGCTTCGACCGGCTTCACCTGCTCGTGTCGCCCGAGCAGAATCGGAGTGGAACTGGCGCCGGGTGTTTCGGTCCAGTGACTGTACTTCATGCTGCCGAGGTGGTGAGTGGCCAGCCGGAGGAGCATGCGCCACTCCTCCAGATCCGCTGCTCAGCTGAGACGGAGTTGGTCCAATCCCAGCGACCCAGTCCGCCAGATCCGTAGACCGTCTCAGGGTCTCAGTTCGTACCCGAAAATGGGTACAAGAGTGGGTACAAGTACCTATACCTAGGTCTTCATAAGTATGCATTTTTTTCCGCCTTTTCAATCAAAACTGCTTTTTCAAGCAAACGCCAACTATTTTGTACTGAAGCACTTTTTGCATTGACATGTTTTCGATGGTATGTCAAGGTTTCGAAACGGCGACTTTTCCCGACCAAACGGCGACTTTCCCCGACCAAACGGCGACTTTTGCCAACTGCTAGTTTGGTAACCTCTGTAAAAACATCGAAACGGCACTTTTGAAATGAAACGGCGTTTTTGACGGCAAACGACTGAAATTTGTGCTGTTTCGCCAAACGGCAGAAAAAACACACCCGTGGAAGGTCCAGGTATGTTCATAGGGTCACTGTCCCATGTTCTGATGGTACTTTGGAGATGTTCATGGGGTCACTGTCCCATGTTCTGGTACTTTGGAGGGTGGTATGGGCATCTCCAAAAACCGGTGGTAGAAACCCTCCAACATTCTCCAAGCATCGCAGATCTGGCAGAGTTTCCTCCGAACTGTGGCCGGGACACACTATCCACGACACCGTTTCAGGGAGGAACTGAAAACGACTGGCACCGTGCCTTTTTTTACCGATCTGCAGCTCTTTTCTCTGGTCTTCAGAAGCCATGTGCCACAAGTGGGAGCCCAATCTTCGCTGAGATATGCTGAACATTGCTGAACGAACTTGGACCATGGAGTTCGATTCGGGCATTTTTACGTCATTTATTTGAAGGTCCTTAAAACAAATTGTTTGCGTTGGGCAATGTTCATTATAGATCCGATGTATGATGTATGTGTGTTTCTTTCTTTTCGGTTGAATTTCTCAGAGTCTCATGTTCAGAGGAAGCTGTCCACTCGCCACCTGGCAGTGAAGATGCTCTTCTACTAGATTATGATGATTATAAGTTGCAAATCTATCCCAGACACTCCATTTTACCTACATTGGAGTGGTTTCAGGGATCAATGTAGGTAAATATGCCAGTCCCATGGAGTGTATTTGGGTATCAGTTCTGCTGGTGCTCACTCGTTCTTTTTCACACCAAAGCCACGGCGCACGTCGCTCCGGCCCAACCCCAGGCTCGGCGGAGCCCCGGAACAGCGTGAGCTCCCTCGTGTGGGACCGAGCCTCCAACGAAGACGTCGCATGGAAGTGGAAAACCCTTTGTTTGTAAAGGAAGTAGTCTATGTCTAGTTCTATGTCTATATATGAAAACATAGACATAGACATAGACTCCATAATGTCGACGTCGGATTAATCAACAGGCCCCCCCCCCCCCCCCCCGCTAGAAGGTCAACAAGGTCAACAAGGTCTGAGATTGGAGGTTTTGGAGATCACATCCCCCTAATAGTGGGGATGACCTGATAATGAAAGTGAATTAGTATTTGGAAGAATTGAGATATTGGAATGAAAGGGAATTAGTATTTAGAAGAATTGGAATGAAAGGGAATTAGTATTTGGAAGAATTGGAATGAAAGGCAATTAGTATTTGGAAGAATTGGAATGAAAGGGAATTAGTATTTGGAAGAATTGGAATGAAAGGGAATTAGTATTTGGAAGAATTGAAATGAAAGGGAATTAGTATTTGGAAGGGTTGGGATGAAAGGGAATTAGTAGTTGGAAGAATTGGAATGAAAGGGAATTAGTATTTGGAAGAGCTGGGATGGAATGATGAGATCCATGAGAGCTTATTGGCACAAATTTGATGAGAGATCTGAGAGATCAGAGCCATGCCAACTGGATCAAAGATATTGAAAAGGCAAAAAGAACAAAACTAATTAAACACAGATATATATTTAAGTAAGTATATTTTTCCTGGGGGGACAGGGGGTAGACTAATAGGGGGGGTTCAGCCAAGCAAAATTTTTATTAGAGGGTGGTGACTGTGGAAATTCATAGTTCAAATCAGTTTTTTATTGGGGCCAGAACGCTGGGTAGACTAATAGGGGGGGTGCCTAATCCTATGTTGACATTAGATGTGAATTCGGGGACCATTTACTTCACTACCATGCGATGTGCGAGTGTCAGAGTGTACCAGCATCCGACTTCACTGGTCACCACTGGTTCGACATGTCGAACTACTGGGCATTGGCCCGTCCCAACCCTCAAACAAGGAGACCTGGCAGTGAGGATGTTACTATGGAACGTTTATTTATATTAGTCACAGTGGGGTGAGTTTAAGATGTTTTGAGGTCAATGTCGTTAGATATTCCATACAATGGTCCGGGTAGGGATTTGCTGGAAGACACTGGTCGGACATCTTTCACCACTTGTGCCCACCCAAGCCAATCCCAAACTAGGAAGCTTGTCATGTAAAGGGCACCCTAGTCCATCTCCTTTGCTTCAACTGATTTCTTCGGCCCCAAAAGTCTGGGGAAGAGTTTTCATGATCTTCGTCCAATCATGAGTTACCCTCCTGCTATTCGGACCACATGGAACCCCCAAACCTTCCCCACTCCAAACCACTGGGCCCGGTCTTCGGACAATGGTCGGTCGAAAGCACAGATGGATTCTCAGGGTTTATGGGATTGTTTGGCCGGGGGGATAAGCTATACTCTTCCTGGAACAAACATGGAAGTGGAAAAAAACCGTCTTCCTTTCGGGGCCATTCCTATAGTGAAGTGACCTTTTCCTAGGACCCGTCACCAGGGGTACCTATAATATACATAGGATAGTCTATCTAGTCTAGTTCGGGTTCTGACCCACCTGCTGCTATTTTCTCCACTTCGTGAGTTCCAAGGAGTCACGTCCTGAAGTCCCAGGAAGGAAGTCGCGCTTCCCTTCACCTAGCCTACCCCCCTATAGGGCAGCAGGTGTCGTCCCAACACTCGCTGATCCTTCGATCCGACACCGGTGTCGAGGTCGAAGCGTCGTGTCGGAGGATCGGATCTACCACTAGACCTCGAGATCGGTCAGTTTGACCTCAAATACTGGAGATGGTCATAGAAAACACGACGCAAGGAGGTCAAAGACCAGGTGGAAACTGAGTCAGACTGGACTTGCAGGGCATTGATTCGAATGAAAAAGAGTTTGATTCAATCTGGGTCATGTGTGTGTGACTGCTCGGAGGATCCCTTGGTGTTTCTTTTCCCGAACCTGGGTGAATGCTCCTTCTAGAAAACATGTCTTACTTTTTCCATCTTTTTCAGTCCTTTGGTACCCGGCTCAACCCTGAATCAAAAGGCAGGAGGTTGCTGGCAACAGTCAGCACGTCGCACTTGGGGATCCTGGAATCAGCCACGACCTCCACATTCGACCCCAAGGGATCCAAAAGGCCCACGACCTCCAAATCAGCAAATGATGTGTTCTTGTTTCCTAACCCAGACACTCCATGGGACTGCCACATATGCCTAGACATTGACCCCCAAAACCACCCCGACGAGGTACATATACCATACATGAGCTTTGCTTTTCTCCCAGGTGCCCCTCACCGACGAGGGTCAGAGCTCCCGGACGCTGAAGCGGGGTGCTTGGCGGGCTCGCTCAGGCGGAGCCAGAGGTGATTGTTTCGAAGGATGGATGGACCACATATTCCAAACAGCCCTTGGTCCCTCAAAACGTTGGGATTTGAGACCCCAGACCCCTCCATATGAGAGCCCAGTGTCACGTTTGGGAAAACCACAATGGGTCTAATTCAGGTGTCCCTGAGGCACCAGCGGTTCCATCTTGGAGTGTTTGCTCATAAGGTGACCAGTGGAAACCTGACACGCCACAAGAGAGGCTGGGCACCCCAACATCGAATCAGGTCCTGCACGTGGGTTGTTGCACATACGACCTGCTGCGACCTACTGACCACGACTACTACCACCACTAGTACCACCACTACTAGCTAGTAAGCTGCTTTCCTCCTCCTCATTGGTGTGAGGCGGGAAGACATATTATTGAGATCCAAGGTGAACAAGACGATCCAAAACATCCTCCATCACCTACCTGTTGCATCCAATGAGCCAGGACCTTTGTGTCATTTGGCCAGGACCTTTGAAGGGCCCTTCGGACTAGGTGAAAGATCATGTAATATAATATTACCCAGACACTCCATGGGACTGCCATATATGCCTACATTGACCCCCCAAACCACCCCAATGTAGGTAAATATGCCATACATGGAGTGTCTGGGATATATACCTGCAACCTCGTGGTGGCCTTTTTTGGGGTCGGTGGTTCAACGTACCTTGATTTAGGTCTGTGAACCACATAAACATCCGCAACCGAAAAAAATAACATCCGCTAAAAAAAGAAATGTTCGGGAAAAAGATGCCTTTGGCTCACCAATAAACGCCCTTAGCTTGTGTATAAACGCCCGTGGAATATCAGAAAAATAAACAACACCACAGAAAACTAGAGAAACATCCGCAGACTCAAACATAAGGCTGTGACTCCAAAAGATGTTTTTCACGCCGCAGATCGAACAAAAAGCACTCTGACTTCCAGGTATATACTATATACGGTATATAGTACCATTAATCATTAATCATATCAAGATGAACACCTTCAGGTCCCGATGATGTTTTTCATTGTGCCCAAGAAAAGAGCCTTGGAATTTGTCGATTCGGCCCGGGTAGCCGAAGTCCACCACTACTCCGGTGCGCAGCAGCGCAGCTTGCGCAGGCAGTGCCATGGCACCTCCTGAGCCCAGTATGTCTGAACGACTCAAGGAGGTGCTGGTCTTTGCAGTGTTTTTTTGCGCAATGCCATGCCTTTTCCATCAGGTTTTCGAGTGTGGGGCTAGCTCTGGTCCGAAGAAATGAGGTTGACAGTTGACACTCTGACTCACTGGAAAGTGGATCGCATGGTCTCTGAAGACGGCTTTCCTTTACACCAAAATGTCCTCCACGGGGTCACCGACGTCATCGTATGGTCCTGGCGTTTGGCTGTCTTGGAGTCTCCGATGTCTCGGTGACATCGATGTCTCGGTGGTTTTATAATGTTTTATATTTATACCTAGAATCTCAGTGAGGTTTCTTCCCTATCAAAACATAGGTCATATGGGTTCTAGGTCATATGGTGGTTTTCAATAACTGAGGGACCTCCATTTAAAAATTCAGTAATTAAACAGCTGGGGGGGCCCTAGTCCCCACCATTAGTGCTAGGTTCATTATATATATATATATTGTAATTGATTGAAGGCCAATCACAAAGCTGAAGCAAATCCCTAGCCTTTGAAGACATGAAAAGACCATTAAAAGGGTTCGGTGGACCTAGTTTTGCTCGTGCAATCCTTATGTAGAACCATTGATTGTGGTAAGCGGTAAACGCTATTGAATCAAAAATTAGTTGAACACCTAGGGACATCCTTTGCGTGATCTTTTTGATGGTGCTCAGTGCACTCGGGTAGTCCTGACACTACAACTTGGAAATACCGATTGATTCCACTGCTTGAGATATGTTTGACTGGAGTTGGTGCTATGTCAAGTAATGTCCCAAAAGTACTAGCTCTGCTTGAGGAACTCATGAACAAAGTATAACAAATGCCAACAATATGTAGATGGGAACAGGTCCCAACTACATGTTCAAAGGAGATGCTCCTTTTCATGTTGGAATCACTATTGGCTCCTTTTCACGTTGGAATCACTATTGGGAAAGACATGGAAACTAAACTCATGTTGTCTTTATTATGTTTATTTGTTCTGTTGGATGCCCCTGGTATGTTCAAAATTCCACCAGACGTTGCAGAGGCGCAGCTGGCAGCGGATGCACAAGCCAGGCATGTTGCAGTGCTTGGGGGGAGACCTCAAAGGAGTTTTGTTTTCACACGAAAGGCATCCTCCCAAAACTCACCAAACTGTTTCAGACACTCCATGTATATTGCATTGTATTGCAATGTCTTGCCCATGCGAAGCCTGCACAATGTAGCTGTTTTCATGTGCCCAGTCCTGTGGAGTGTTTGAAATTTGTGCGAAGAGATGCTTTGGCGAAGCAAGGCCTAGGAAACAGTCCTCCATCTACTGCCAACAAAAGGTTGTGTTGTGATCCCCCTCATTCTGAACTATTGAACTATGGAGCCGATGTGGGAAAAAAGCAGAACCAAATCTTCAGGCTCGGCCCATTAAACCTGTCTCAACTCATATTGTCATGACTTCCTCCAGGCTGGTGTGTGCGCATCCATGTGGGTCGCGCTCAGAAGTGGGCCTATATATTCAACAATACAATCAAGCATGGCAGCATAGGCTTGCTACATCACTCCTGTCTGGACCTGACGAGAATGTAGGGTGTCCCCACACAAGATCATCACACTTTTTGAGATAGAAAGGACTGCAACCTGACCATCCATTGCGCCGATCGCGGCCGTCAAGGCCGCTTTTTTGGCGGGAAAACGATCCCATTGATGTGCTCCGTCTTCAGAACATCAGATGAACATCCTTCTTCACAACGTGCCTTTGCAGTAGTTACAGTGGACCGCCACGCCGATCCACGGACGCACGGTCACCACCCACGCGACGTCCGTCCGCCAACGCGACACCGAGGACACTGTCGAGAAACAACACGCGGAGCGTTCGGACGGCGAACGGGCGAGAGGTCAACTGTACTGTATACAACTGGATCCTCAGAAGTACCGTACGAGAATGGGTACGAGAACCATGTCCCATGTTCTATAGAGTACTTTAGAAATTCCAGGTAGATGGACACGGAGATCATGCCTTTTTTTTGTGTTTGAGAAACAGGTCAGACAAGGTGGCTGAGACAGGAGCCGTCAGCATTGTGAGGAGAGAGCATCAGGCGCTTCGGTCAGCTCCGCATCGGACAAGCGTTGTTTCAGCTGTGACCCCTCACATGACAGCATTGTGAGCAGAGTCGACACGCACCGATAGCGAACGAGTTTTGGCGCCAAAGACGCTTGGCAGCTGATATCCTGCGAGGTGAGACACAGCCATAGCACCCAAGATTTGTGAAGTTCTGGATGCAGGTGGCAAACCACGAGCATGCTGCGGAGGACGCAGGGAAAAGACATCCGGGATTGGTTGAGTTGCAAAGGTGTATCCCTATACACCTCCAAGCACCTCCTCAGAAGGTATTTAGACCCTCCAAACCCAAACACCTTCTCAGAAGGTACTTGGAGGCCTAGGGTATATATACACTCCCCAATCCTTTGAATTCTGATTGCCAAGCGTGGCGACTTGGACACAGAGAGCGCAGCGACTTGTGGCAGTCCCTGGCAGTCCCGAGCCTTGACTCGTTCGTGAACTTCGTCCTGGCGCGCTCTTTGGATTTACCCACTTTCCCTAGGGCTCCAGTCGTACCTTCGTTTCGAAGGTGGGACTGGGGCGGGTGCCAGGAGGGTCTAACCACCTTCTGAGGAGGTACTTGGAGCCCTAGGGTTTAACTGGGAGGTGGTTTCAGAGATTCTTATATGTTCAACCCTTTACTTGGATGATTGAACCCACTGACTATATTTCGTTCGTGAGTTGAAACCACCCACCGGTTAAGGTTCTACCAATTGCTATCATCGGTCCCGTTCTTGACTTCTTCGTTCGAAGCACGGGAAGAACAAGACGGAGCCTCGTGTGATGACATGTTTCTACGGCCGAAGCGCTTGGGCACCGAACGCGCAGACCAGTTGCGTTCAGCAAGCTCTCTGACGCACCTCAGTTGGTCACAGTGCTGGCCGAAAAAACGGGCCTTCTATTCGAAGGTCCCCGTGTTTACACGCATGCCTTTGCAAGCCTAATAGTTTCTCAGGAAGCTTTCTCAAGCCTATATATGTGGGGGATTGTGGGATCAACCTTTCCGGGGGTTGAAGGCTAGGAGGACTTTTTGGACATGCCTTATCAAGGAACCAGCCAGGGACCAGCACGGGAACTTCGCAATTTTTGCCCCGAGTCATGCTAGTTCTAGATGTTCTAGCATGTGGTTGCTTGTTTACTTTTGAAATGGCAGGGACGACATGTACGCAAGCAGGAGGCATAGCACGCGGAGGGCCATGTCTGTGAGGGAGAGAGCCAAACGGCCAGACTCAGAACTGCGCATGATGCAAAGACCTGCAAACACCAACTTACTGTAAGAGCTTTCACTGACCCCAACTGACCCAAAACTGAGCACCTTGCGATCGTTGACCTACCGAACTTTTTGAAGTGGACTGCGAAGAAGTATACTAGAATTTGTTAAGGGGTAGTTAATGAACATCCCTTAATAACCTTGAAGTGGCTATTATTATAGACACACCGAAATTGGGGCCGGTATAGCACTTTTTGGTTGCAAAACCGTCCGTGGCACCGCGAGTGGGACCGCCAGGCCGGGCAAGCGTGGCTCGAAGGAGGCGCCGGGTATCGGTGTCGCCACGTCCTTGGCTTCGTCCATGCTGAAGACCATGCGCCTTGGCAGAGCTTAGCTGAACCACGGGGGAGAGAGTGGCGAGACCCGGTGTTTGGTACAGAGCTTCATGGGTCATGTCTTTGGTATTGGCTGATTCGGGATCATTCCCAGTTTGTTGAAGAATTCTTTCATGTGCTTCAAGAAAGTAAGAACCGCGATTCTGTTTCGAGAGGGCTTACACCTTCAACTCGAGCTCGCTCGTTCATGCCAGTCAGATGAGGACAGAGCGTGTGATCAGCATGGTTAGGCTGATCATATCAGATGTTGGTGTTCTTCTGTGTTTAGGAATCATAGGTTTGTTAGGGCACGAAAGAATCATTGAATCAGCGGGCCTAACCATGCTGGTCACCTAGTGTTTCAACATTAGCCTATTCTTCATAGAGCAATAACTCATACCTGGGTCATCCTGTTTGGGTGCCCAATAGGTTACCAAGCCCGCTGCTAGATTGGACCTCCAGACAGGGCACCCAGACAGGCTGATCCTGGTAGGTTTTGCTGTTTCGAATTATTGGTGCCGCTCGCTCCCCAGAGTGGCCTTTTTTGCGGAACAAATGCGTTTGGACGACCGAACGTTGATTCTGGAAAGAATCATGTGTTCTTCAGTGTTCTTCTCAAGAAATGGGGCTGATCCCGTTTTTCTGTGCGGAAGAAAAGGCCGCATTTCGTTGCTGGGTTTGTTGGTAGGAGGCTTGGATGTGGCCACTCCCTCCAGCAGTTCTTTGACAAGGAACAGTCCTTGGAGGTCAAGGTTTGGATGATGATGATGATGATGATGATGATGATGATGATGATGATGATGTTGCCTTGAGAACTATTGCTGGCTGGCCAAGAATTATATATGGGATAACAAGTGGGCCTGGAACCACGAAATATTGAGTTTGGTTCTTTTCTGGATATATTGAATGATTGCCTCATAGATTTGCAATGATTGCGTAGCTCACATGAAAGATAAAGACACAAACACATAAAAACTGAATCTGATCCTCCGCCGTCACATCGAGAAACAAAGAAGACCCTAGTTCTTTAGAAAGAATCCTCAAACCCAAGGTGCCCTTGTTGCAACTAGAGCATCCTTAAATCCTTAAAACACGTGACCCCGCCTTGGACTTGAGTATACGAAGCAAAGCGTGTGAGCGTTGAGCTGCCGATATGAGGTTGAAGAAGCCAGCAGCGGTTTCAGTGTCGTTTCGGAAGACCAGTATGAGCACCTCGCTGTCTACAGAAACTTTGTGATAGGATGAGTGGGAATAGAAGGAGTTTGGGAAAATTCCCTTGAAGCATTTGGAAGCTCTACAGTAAGCCTTTAAGCATGGCACTCAGTCTATCGCATGTTCCATGCGATCCTGGTGCGCCCTGGATTTTTGGGAGGACTGTAGAGGACTGCCTCATAGGACCCTAGGGCTCCAAGTACCTCCTCAGAAGGTGGTTAGACCCTCTAAACCCGCCCCAAACACCTTCTTATAAGGTACTTGGAGCCCTAGGGGGACTATAGGAATGTTGTGTTTCGCTCCTCATATTTCTGGCGTTGGACCGTCAAGGTCAGTGCGGCCAGTGCACCAAACAACTCCGGGACGAGTCATATCCGACAGAGAGAGAGAGAGAGAGCTTGCTGTGAACATAAATCGACATGATCATGGAAGAAGTCAGTTCAAGTGATTTTGGTTGATGAACTGGACTCTTACGGAATATGTTGACAGTTGCTTTGAAATACTTGCCCCAGTATGCCACCAAGGCTCACCGTATGCTGTATGCAAAGATGCCCCACTACCAGCCAGCTACATTATGAATCCGTAAACTCCAGCAATTTCTATACGGTCATTATTGGTAGTTATATAAGTTATATATATGTAGATTCACGCTGAGTGCCCCCCTAAACCAGAGCTCCATGGGGGAATTGGTGAATCATCGGTTTGTTCTTTCGATTCTTCGGTAAAGAAAGGAAGTTCGAAGACTTGCCCTGGCGATCGCATGACATATTCTAATTTGATTCTTGGAACTTCTGCAAGGCTTAGAAATCATGTTCAAATTCTTCTTGTGGTTCTCATCGTGACCTGCGAGAGCAATTGCTATTGCTGCACGAGCAGGTCTCACAATCCGCCGCAAAGACTGAGGTTTGATTGGGGACTACGCCTGGGACAAGGCCTCGATCACCACCGCACCGGGATCTCCGTTTTGGGGTGCTGAAACGGATTTGTCGCATCAGCCACAGGCGTCCAGCTGTCTTCAACTTAATCCTTGGAGAATTGGACAAGTTTGAACCGCTGGCGCTACACTTGGAACCAAGTGGTGGCATCACAACCCTGAGCAGGCCCTCTGGGTGAGGGGATGTGGAGTCAGGGCTGACGATCACTCCAGCTCGTGAGCTTCCGATCCAGGAAGCCAGTGGCTGAGTGTTCATTCAAACCATTCAACCCCCTGAGCACCATGGAGGATTGTATCAAACATGTCCACTCAGTCTGTTTACAGTGAGCCTGTTGGGAAGGTGTTTAGAACATGCCAATAAATTAATCTACTGGACCAACGTGCATTTTCCAGGAAAAACGGCCACCTCACAGTGTGACAGCCATACGAAAGGATGGAGAGGATAAGGAGCCGCTCAAGGGAGCCGCCTCAGCGCGATGATGAGGTGGAAGAAATCCGGGATCTGCTCATCAGAAACGGATACTGTTTTCTCATCAGAGAGCCACATGGCTGGTATGCCAGGTCTGAGGCCAGCTCCCAGAAGCTGCTGCCCATACCATTTGTATTACAAAGTTGCCAGTTGCGCGGTCACTTCCTAGAAGCTGCTTCACATCTCCTGCACTTCTTGTCAGGAGATGTGTTCGATGGCTTTGCTGCCCAAATGCCGGCAGCTGCGACGCTGCGAGTGCAGGATGCTACCGGACATTCTTGCCGAGTGCTCTCCAAGTGGTCCACGGTCGGTGCTGCTCGAGCTGCTCGGTGGAGCTCGCTGCTCCACACCTCCGCAGAGCGCGTCACCGATCGCGACGGGCTTCTTGGATCGACGATGTCGGAACGACTCTGATGTCGGTTACTTCGTGGCAAGATGTGAGAAGGGCAAAGCATATCGATGTGTTTCTTCCCTGGTTTACTGTTTGTTTAAATACAGGATGGATGGCAAAGATGGATGGTTTTTCACAGTTTTCTTTTCTTTACATAGGTTTTTTGTTGAAGATAAATGTTGGCAAGATGCATTGCAACCAAGACAAACAAACATGGATAAGAACCTGCCGGACCCCGTTTGCAAAATGCTGACTTTCGAGGCACAATTTGGTAACCAGAGTTTACCACCATGGAACCACTGTATCATCACGATTCATCAAAGATCTTAGAAGGCACCCGATATACATGGGTTGGCACGGTGCAACCCTACAGTTGCTTGGGGGCTGGTGAGGCTGCCCAGGGTGAATTGTTTTGGGCCGACCTCGCTGAGGCATAGTTTCCTGAACCCAGCTCAGTCAAGATACCAATCCTTCAAACGTTGGAAAGCATGGTGCTTGCCTGCTTACCTCCCGTTTGCTTGCTTGGGCACCAACCATTTTTGTTTGACAAGTCACCGCTTCTGATTTTTCTATGGAGGGTCGCGCTAAATAATGATTCCAGGGGGTACGTCGATGGGCGGGATAATTTATGTAGAATCATTCTCTGGAATCTTTTTTTGACAGGGGGGTTCATGGGGGGTGTCAACCCCCCCCTGAGAATAATTTTCAAGTTGATGTGACTGATGTACCAGAATCATTTTCACATGTTGCAATGTCATAATTGCATTCGCCTCAGTCTCAAGCATACAGATTTCTATTGGAGAGTCCATCAAATACAGAAAACAGTATTAAAACAGATTCTGCACCAATGCAAAAGGTGGGAACGCATATTGCTTCAATATTTCATTTTTTCAACGTGTGCGCTTGTACCAACTGATGGCTGAGCCTCCCAAACCTATTCAGTTTTGCCATGCGGGTTCTAGCTCTGGCAAGAAAAGAAACCACCCCAATTCTGATGTCAACCCCCCCTGAAATCATTTCCACACCAGTCATTTCCATATGAAAACACACAACTCACCACATTCATAGACACCCAGCGGGAAAACATTGGACACCGACACCAATACATAATAATACCTATAATACCTATGGAAATAGAATGACATGGTGGAATCGTGGAACAAATTGCAATTCCCAGCTCCATTGCCCTTGCCCAGATTGGGTATGGGAGTTTCCTCTAAACATCTCACCTTCCAGAGTGCAGCCCCTCCAAGATTTTACCCTTACACCCCATTCTGATGTCAACCCCCCGTGGAATCATTTCCACACACCTGTCATTTCCACATATCTCATCACATTACCATTCCAGGCACCACTACCCATGAAAGATCCCATGTCCATTTCCCAGACTGGGCATTATTGAATATTCTTGGGGTTCCTGTAAAAAACATTTAAGAACATCTAAAGATCTACCACCACTCCCCTACCCTCAAAGAACATCAAAAAAACACCCCAATTCTGATGTCAACCCCCCCTGGAATCATTTCCACACCAGTCATTTCCATATAAAATCGCATTACTCACCACATTCTTAGACACCCAGTAAGAAAACATTGCACACCGACAATAATACATAATAATACCTAAACATAATAATACCAATAATACTTTGGGTACAGAGTTCAGATGTCAGGAAATGTCAGCAGATTTCAGGAAATGATTCTGACCGTGGATGACGGTCAGAATCAATATCACCAACCCCCCTCACACCCCCCCCAGAAGCATTTAAAATGATTCCTGGGGGTCTTGACGTGGGCCCCCTTGAACGCAACCCCCATATTTTTCTTTTTGGCCTCAAATGGTCGACCAGTGTGGCAGGTGGTCGCGAAGTTCGAGTCCAACCTCAAGAAGCACAACTTCGAACCCGATATGACTGCAGGAGACTGTATAGGGAGGGTCTCAGGGTCATGCCTTTGCCCAACGGATGCTTTAATTCAGGTCGCAGAGCCCTCAGCGGTATAAGACTTCAATACAAACCTCCGCTGCGACCTTCACTGGGGCGGACAGCTCGGAAATGAGATTGAACAGCCACCAACAGGCCCCCTCATGTTGTCCGCTTGCCTTCTTGGGTACATGGCGAGTCCAACGAAAGGCACACGGGCTCGGAATTGCCGCAGATCCGCCCTGCGGGAGATTAATCAGAGGGGGGTGAACTTAAAGCATAGCGGAGGGGATAGGAGGGGATTCTTACTCATGTCTTGGCATTCTGCTCAATTCTTGGTGCCACCGAACGGCCGCATGCGCCGCCCGGTAGCAACCGGGGGGACTTCTCCTGAAGTTGGTCGCGGAGGTCGCGAGGTGATTCCGGCGCTGCGCGGCCGAAGAAGGACTTCCGAAACAAAACGGTCCCACGTCCACGTCCGCTGGCGAAGCAGCGAAGCAGCTTTTCCCTAGGCCCGTTTGGGGCTCCAGTCGGTAGCTTCGTTTCGAAGGTGGGACTGGGGTGGGTGGGTTTAGAGTCCAAATATTCTGAGGAGGTACGACTGGAGCCCTAGGGTTTACATCCAGACAGCGCTGGAGCTTCGCGACGTCCGTCGAGAACTTGCCTGACATGTCTCAGGAGATCCGGCCGGCCATGTAGGCCCTAAACAACCCAAGAATGAAACAGAACCCAAAGACCCAGTAAAAGCATGGTCTTTTACATCCTTAAGTCGCTTACAGTAAGTTGTGTCTTTTTTATGACCACATCCACTAAAGTAAAACAACTGATCTGATTTGGGCAACCAGATCCCCCACGATCCTCGCCTGATGGGAGGGGTGGCTGAACGTTTGTGTGTTTTCTACACAGTCGCTGACCTCTCATGGGCGATGTTCATTGGATGTGATTGATCCTCCTTTCCAGAGCTTGGGTGTGCAGGAAGGGTGCGTGGGAACTAGCGGTCCGTCCGTGGTCAGGACAGTGGAAGAGCCATTTCTCCTGGGATGTGGATGAGCCGCTTTCGAGCGTGGGCGCCTGGGTGGGGCCTACGAATGAAGTGTTGCAAGCAAGATCACGGAAGGCATGCGGAAGTCGCATGCTGCAGTCTTGGGGACTTCGGGATATGCAACAAACCCTTTGAACAGTGGCAAGCTATACATCAGGTGATATCAGGTGTCATGTTTTCACTCCAGCGTTTAGGAATTCCATGGCACATGGAAGATCTTTTTGAGGGCACTGTTCCAGTCTGCTTTGCAAGCTTTTCCAAACTTCCCCCTTTTGCTTACCCTCAACAGCAAATTGACCGGGCTAGGTCGTTTTGAAACCAAGCCCAAACATATAGAAATGGAAAAACGCCTTGGCTTCTAGAGTCTAGAGGTGTCTAGATGTTTAGGGTGACTTGGAACCTTCCTCATGATTTGGAGTGCCTTCCAATGCCTTCCACAGTAAAATCTGTTTTTTTTGCCTCCTTAAGTATAGTACTTTTGTATGACCATCTTGACCTTAAAATGAGGTCAAACTGACTTGTAGGCCCACAGGAGAAAAACACAAAAACATGCCCAGTCAGTGGATCACCTGCATAACTTAACCGCATATCCTTTTGGCTTAAAGCCGTACCCTTGGAGCAATAGTTGGAGCTTGCACAGATACACATCACCTCAGATTCATGGACAGGGTTTCCAGCCATTTTACAAGATGGTTGTTGGCCAAAAACATGTCCACTTGCGTTTCTTGGATTGGAGGGTCTGTGTCTAATTCGCATTTGTCCGCACCTTGGCTAATCATTGAATTTTTGTTCTGCTGCCGCAAGCACTGTGTCACAGCATGGCAGACCACCAGATATTTGCTTGACAGGTGAACCGAACAGGTCGAAAGTTCGGTAAACACCTTGATGGTCCACGGAAACTGAAGGACCCAGACTCGACGGGTCGATGCTCCGTGTTTGAAAACGGCCCTTCCTGGTCCCTCAAAACGGGGATCGGGTCCGGACTGAACGGAGGGTCCAGGGTCGCGATTCAACACCGGGCCTTAACTAGTGACTAGTAACTACTGTTTGGTAGTGTTACTACTGTTACTAGTGACTTAGTGTTAGTAAGTTAGTAACTACTGTTACTCGTGTCACCGGCCCGGACGTGATGCCCGAGGCCGGCTCCCTCAAGATCGTCCTCGCACGGCGCCGCGCCTCGGCGAGAGGTTGGGACTGGGACCGGGGAGGGCGCCGGGTGGTCGAAGGAAGCGACGGTTTCCAGGAGTGTCTCAGCATTCATTGAGAGGACCCAGCAGGAGCTTCTGCAGGAGTCACAGACCAGGACCCTCCAAAGGGTGTCCTGGCTGGACTACCCCACACTACCTATAGGCTTCCAGACGGGGCACTCCTTGGAGGGTCCAGGTATGGAGTTGGGTTGGGTGTGTTTTTTGGGAGTTCCATCCAGTGGGTGTGACAGGGGCACCCCTGACTTCCGAACGATGAACCGGCACTCCGACCATGTGACTGCTGGCAGTTCTTTCTTAAGTGGTTTCTGATTCTGGGTAGTTTTCTGGTTGTTTAGGTTCCCAGGTGTGTTTTTTGTGTGTACTACCCGATCTCTTTGAACTTTGTTGCACGTTCTTCCGTGTTTTTGTTGCTGTTTGTGGTGTTTTTTTTGTTGCTGTACTTGCTCGCAGTTTTTTTCGGTCACTCATGTGCACGAACTGAACAGGTCACTTCCCAGGCCATGAAAGCATGAACAGAATGTTCTCACAAAAAAAGCTCACCATTCAACGCGCAGGGCCAAGAAAGGACAAGCCAACTGGGGAAGCCAACACCTCCATGCATTCTTTTGTGTGTACGCGTGTGACTGGTGAGGATGGTGAAGGATCCGCTGTGAGATCTTCACCAGAGAAGCCTCATCCATGCGTCGCTGAGATCGAAGAGCGAGCCATAAGAGAAGGGAGTGGCAGGATGCTGCCTTGTCGTAATGTAGACTCTTTAATTGCAAGAAAGTTCCCCGTATGAAGAGCTTGTTCAATCCGCCCAAAGTCCAAAGTGCAAAGTTAAAGAAGGGCGTTTGGTTGAATGATTCTTGCCACATCGATGATGCATCAGCGTCGCCGACGCTGGGCGGTGCGTGAGTGCAGCCCCGGACGCGCCAGCTGCAACGAGCTAAAGTGCCCACCTATTCTATCCAGTCATGACACTTTTCCTCGTATGTTGAAACCTCAAGGTTCACCTTGACTGCACTATATGTGCTTGATACGACCGCATTCGACTGCTTCTACCAGACAAAACTACCACCAGCTCTTCCGTCCGAGAAAAACAATCTCCGTTTTGCGAGAACAAAGCTTCTCCCATTTGGGTCCAAGTACCTCAGAAGGTATTTGGACCCCTGAAACCCATTGAAAACACTTCAGGGTCCATTTAGACACCCAGGTCACCCAGGTATCTGAGACCCCTGCAACCTGTACGCCTTGAGCTCCGACTCTGAGGCCTCCCAAGGTGCGCCACCCACGGCGCCCCATACGGCCCTCGGCGCGCGCCACGATGCCGGCGGGGACGAGCACTCCGGCAGAGCAGGGAGGCTCAGCATCGAAGGGTGGAGCGATCTGAGTTGGCAGCCTATAGACCTAACAGACTTAGGATGAACCAAACGCCTAAGAAGGCCTGAAGAGGGTTTGCAATCCATGTTTGGGGTTTTTATGTACGCCTTAATTACACAGTTGTGACATAGTGGAGGTTGAAAAACCTCCACATGGTCATCCAAACTCGGGGCCATTGTTCATTCATGTAACCATGGAAGATGTCAGGGAATGTACAGTAGATAAATTGGACTCAATTGGACCGATGATGACCGAACAACAAGGCTAAGGATCAACAAGGCTTGGCGGCAATTCCCAGCAAATCTCATGAAAAGGCGCGTAAAATACCAACATTCCTGTGCACAAGATGTGGTCATGTTACATGTTGGTCAACATGCTACTTGCCGCCCAAGTTGTGGTTGGGCATTCGTCTTCCTGCCCCAGGCCAGAACCTGAAGAAGAAGAAGATCGCCCCCTGACAGAAAAAGCAACAAAAAAGAAGAGCGATGGCGAAAATCCAGCACCAAGCCACCCAAACAAACGGCAACTTTCCACATGTTGTTCCTTCTCTGGGGATCCACAGAAGGCACTTAGACCTCCAAAGCTACATCAAAGTGTCCCCCACTTTCGGACCATGTAGGCGCCTGGCAGCCATGAAGTTCAGATGAAAAGAGGATTCTTTAGGTTTCCAGATGATCAATTCTGGCATTGTTTCGGCGTGCGGCTCCTCTTTCGTGAAACTCTCACATGTGATGATTGCGCGTTTGATGGCACAAGAAATTAGGCTCAGAACATGTGTGGTTTGGAGGAAAGGGTTCTCTTGTTGTGGAATCTGGGCCCTACAAAGACTTGACAGCTTTGTTGGAAGCCTATAGAAAGGCACGGAATCGGATGGCCACATGGGCTGTTTTTACGGATCGTGTTTTTGCTTGCAAAGCCAATTGTTTTTTGTTGGACATCTTGCTATCCCCATGTGCATATAGCATCATATAGCTAATATAGCTATATTAGATATCTATGAGATCTATCTATTAGGTCCATGCCACTTCCAAAGAGTGCAACACCCAAATTTTGTCGTGTTTTTCCCTGTTGGTCTTCTCATCCCGTTTTAGCTCCCCTTCAGAACTTCACTTCGCATGCCCTTCGCAGTCACCCGCCTCGACCCCGACATCTCGACTCGACCGACGTCTCGTCTCGACCGCGCCGCGCGCGCCGCAAGGGCCGAAGACCAAAGATGCTCCGATGCTCTTCGCGCTCGCGAAGTTCATGTCCAAGATGAAAACCAAGAGGAGGCCGACGGTCGGGCGATCTCGGGGTGGGCGATACAGGGCCTTCCGGAAAGGTTTTGCCAAAAGGGATTGGAATACAAAGGGTACAAAGGGTCACAGATTCAGACTACTGAAGCACTGAATTGTGATATCCAGGGCCTGTGAAAATTCACTGCATGCACCCATACCGTGGAAGTCTGTTTGACCATGTTTAAAGTGAGTGGTTGACCTGGTTTTGTAGTGTAGAACCACTGGCAAAACAATGGTTGTTCGGTAAAGGCTATTGAATAAATTGTGGTTCAACTTCTAAGGATTCTAGGGCATATATTAAACATATTAAATAACCAACAATGTTTCGTTGCAGCGCAAGCTTGGGGTCTTCAGCCATAGTACAGGGTTTGGAGGAGATTCGGAGCCTCGAGATGGGTTCCCCCAGATTTCCCAAGCCAGGTTGCCAGGTTCCCAAGGTTGCCAACAGCAAGGTTGCCAAGCCCTTGCAAGGGTCCCAGGTTTGGGTTCCCAAGCAAGGTACCTTCCAGGTTACCAAACCGGGTGGCCAGTCATGTACTTGTATGACAGCACCTTTGGAAGGGTTAAGTACGAGGACTGTGCCCCAACGGAGGGTGAACCATGGCTCGCTGCGAAGCAAACCCGTCCACGACACCTGCGGCAGCGATTTGCTCTTTGCATATTGCACTTCACTTCACGCGACTGATTGCCGATGTGGCTGCCTGGATCTTCCAACTGTGACATGTTAACATCAAAAAAGCAGTCCAAAGGCAGACCCTTTGCATAATTGGAAGGTCAAGGTGGTTACTTGAACCCACATGAGATGAACGGCGCCTATAGGAAGTGAGGATACAGTGCGCCGTCCCGTTTCGTCCCGTTTCATGGTGCCATGCCTCACTGAGACCGACCCGGCGATCGGTCCGCAGCTCGAGCGGTTTCGGTTACGCTCGGGGAATGCAGCGAGAGTTCCGCTGGTGGAGTGGATCTCGCAATGCGAAGGAGGTGCTGAAAATAGCATAAATAGCTACGAATGCATACGAATGCCCATGAGGTCTTACTACGGAGTCGTCGATTTTCTCCCACCTCCTGAGAAGCCGTCGGGAGAGGAGGTCGACGTCCGCGTTCAGCCGTTGCTCGAGGTTGTCACCAGACAAACTTAACGTGACCATCTCATTGTATAAATTTGATCTGGCTTGCTTTTGGTTGCTTTGTCCTCCCCTGATCTAGTCGCTCGGAAGAAAGGGGAACACCTGAATCGAAGATAGAACTGATGAGTTCGTTCCGCATCCGATCGCTCCGATGCTGTGCGTTCCTTCGTCGCTCGCCGGGCTTCGAAGCCGCGGTGGCGGCAAGGACGAAAAGAGACGCGAAGGTTGCGACCGGCAAGACTACCCCAGACACGACTAATGGGACTGGCATATTGACCGATCAGTTGGGGTGGTGCCAGGGGGGTCAATGGGGCGGCATATATGGCAGTCCCATGGAGTGTCTGGGTACGCTTCAGACCGGCCACACGAAGAAACTGCCGTGGCATCGCTATATATATATCATTGTCGGGGCTGTGTCCTGGGGCAAGGTAGCCAACGAAGAACCAGGGCGCACTGTGTTTGACGAGATGGCCAAGCGGTGGAACTGCTTCAAATCTCCACAAGCCCTCAGTGTTTGCCGAGAATGTACCCATCCAAGAAGCGCGAACACAGTTGCTTGACCCACTTCAGGTTTGTTTTCCAAAGTTGAAGTCTGGACAGCTTGGTCTCACTTGAGTGTTCTCAGGATTTTGTGGAACATGCAGAAGTGGGACGACTTGTAAAAAGCTAACATTGCTTCCTGCTCTTCATGATCCTCATGGTTTCCTTCATTCACTTATCGCCACTCGTTGTATGTTTGGCCAGCCATGATAAGATATCCAACATCCCCTTGTTCAAGGCCATACCTACCATGACTTCGAGGTGCCGTTCGCATCTGCCGTTCGCATCTCGTTCTTCCGCCACCGCCCGCAACACCGCCAGCAACTTGGACGAGTTTCTCCACGTGCCGCCGTTGAAGGAGACGTCCGGCTGGGCGAGGTCCGACTAAGGGTGAAGATCCCTGAATGGGATGGAGCATATCTCTGGACTCTTGTTATCATGCAGATGGTTGAATTACACCACCCATAAACCCTCCCCATTTGGATTGCACAACTGTTTTCATCTATATGAAGGGCTTTTGCTAATCCAGAGTCTACACGAGCCTCTTGGATCCCTTGGAAACCTCAAGCTGTTGGCGGGAAAGCGTTGATGGTGAACAGCAGTTGCACCAGATTTTGAGACTCCATGGGCATCTCCTTTCGCACATGGGACCACTAAGCCTTAAAGCTCGGATTCCAAGCTGCTCTCCCCACGACTGAAACTCTTCGGATTCCAAGCGCACATGTTCATTCCCTACACCTCCAGTCGTACCCAGTCCTGCCGAACCTCAAAATGTACGACTGCAGGCCCAGGGATTCAGATGAGTCAGGGTGTGAATTTTATAGCTAACACTGTCATTCCAGGAGGACACATGCCATGGACTGTGGCCAGCATCGGTCGGAAAAAACCGCAGGAGAAGTGGAAGCGTCGGCCCTCACGTTTGTTGCCCATGACGGAGGAGGCGGAAGAAGTGCCGAGCTCAGGTGGATTAATTTTCCACCACAAGCGGTGGAGAGATTGGGGCTTTTGATGGATTTTGTGTATCAAAAATGGCCAGGGCCAAAAACTCAGACCCGATCCATACCGGATCACTCAAGGGATTTTTGACCACTTCCAGCTGTTCGCTGGTTTTTCAGGCAGTTGACATGAAGCATGCCCTGTCGGCAGAGCGGGCACAGCCACCAAAAACTTTTTCACCCTCCTGGAAACAGCATATGGGAGGGAAAGTGCGGGCCGCTGTTCACAGTGGTGCCACGCGTCTCCCACGGCCTCACTCCCGTACCCCGGCGGTGGGCTCACTCGCCCACCCAGAAAGACGGCTTATGCCATGTTTGATGTATGCCGCACGACATGCATGGTATGACTCATGCCGCAAAGTTATGCCCCAGATCAGGCCATCAAAAGAAAGGTTGGCCTTAGTTTTGTGTAAAAGTAAAGACCCTTACAAACCATTACAAAAACCATTGATAAACCATGGCACCATGCATGGTTGTTGGAATTCTATAGGAATTTGAAGACTTAAAGGCAATGAAAGCTCTCGGTGCATGACCAAGTGCCATGTGCCGAGGAATGGCTGGAGATCCGAAAGAAGATTCTCGCCCAGAAAGGCTCAACGAGTTCGACGAACAAGACCACCGATCCATCGAGTTTCGTTCCAGTGACAGGACTCTAAAGCAGCTATATCCCGACACCTCCAGTCGTATCGAAACGAAACGAAGGTATGACTGGACCCGACCAGGGGCCCGAGGGGCCCCGGTCGTCCCAGGGCAACCTCAGGTTCTGTACGACTGGAGGCCCTTCGGGGGTATGTAAAGCTCCATGCGGGCCGATGTCTAGGACCTCAAACGGTCGTTTTTGTTGCGGGTCAATCCAACAACACCTTGTTGCATGCAGCCTTTGGGTTGCTGGGCGGTGTCTCATTGGGCGGTGAAACCGCTGGGCAACCAGGGCATCCACCCCAGATGGGTCGGTGACTGCATGTCGGTCCATGGCAGTCGACGACCGAACGGAAGCTGAGTGACTCCGCATACTATAGGCGTAATTTATCTGAACCTGCCAGCTCACGACCTCGCTCCTACCGACCTCACGACCTTGTGAGCTAGGAGTTGAGGTGCCTCAGGTCACCTGGAGCCCTGACAGGTCACCTCGAAGTCTTTGGCTTCGAACCCTTCAAGTCTCCTGCGGCCACCTCGGCCCTCGGTCTCAAGGGTCGAAGTCCAGGGTGAACGAACCTCCCGACTCGCTCGTCGCTCTTCACACAAAAGCGGTCTTCGGTGTTGAGAGTATCCATGAGTGAGTGTTTTAAAGTGAATGTTTGAAAAATGCGTTTCAGCCTCATCCATGTACGGCCTATGTTTAAAGATAAACAAGAACAAGTTCCATGTTGAATTGCTACCGACTCTAGACCTCCAGACATCGTCACCATCGCCCCTCCCTGTTTGTGTTTGGGTTTTTTCTCCAGAATGCCGCGGCCCGCCAGGTCAGTGGCTGCAGCAGAGCCGGCGCAAGGTGGAACAGATGAAACTGCACTTGGAACCTTTCACGATGGAACCGTTTTGGGGCGATCGAGCAACCGAAAGCAATCACCGTTAGATGAGCAGACTGTGTGTGTGCGTTTGAAGCAGAAAAGTGTGTGTGTGTGATGAATCAAGCAGAGCACGGCAAGGAACCACACCCAATCATACGGATCATACTCAAAATTTATAGACTTGGCTTATCAGTGTTATATACTCATATAGTTGTTGGCGCGATGCTTAGGGGTAGATCTTCTTCTAGGCAGGCGGCTACTTGGATGGAGTTGTAATGCGGCCTTTTCGCCAGACCGACCGCCTACACTGGAGACCCTGACAGCTTTGCGTTGTGTGTTTGCGTGTCTTCCACTACAAGTCAGTTTGACTTCATTTTACTGGAGATGGTCATACAAAAACCACTACTTAAGGAGGTGAACGACCAGGTTTACTGGGTCAGACTGGATGGGGCTTGTTTTGATAGCGTGTTTGCTTGGGTTTGCACATCGGGTCGGATCGTTTTTCTGGGGTTTAACAGCTTCGTTTGGGCCGAATCCCCTTCTGGGGAACGTGTCTTTTGTTTCCTCACTGGACAGTCCACGCTTCTTTCTCTGGACGCTTCCTACTCGCGACCGCCGAGCATGCGCAGCGCTGGTTGGGGGTCGCGGTGTTCGATCTCGGAAGATGCCCCTAGCAGCCATCCAGTGGGGTTGCCGATTTCATCTTTTGTCTTTCCAGACTCCTGGCCAAAGAGCCTGGCAACATCGATTCACGCCCGAAGGCCCCCCGTTTGGTTCGAGAATGTTCTAAGGGTCCCATGGAACATCATGGAACTCATCATGTCAACCAGCGTGAGAATTCTCAGGGGCACATCCTTGCCTGGAACGTTTTGGGATGCAAACTGGCCTTGAGAGTCCAAGTTTTGGATTCACTCAGGTGGAGCAGTTCATGAGTCAAAGCAGAAGTTCCTGAAAACCGCAGGGCTGAAGCCTCCTTGCCCAACGGAGTGCCCAGCTCGCGTCACGTCACTGAGGAAGAGGAAGCTGATCCCTCCATTTTCGAGCGGCAGCAACGCAATCTGTGCTTGGGCATGAGGGTGAACGGAATGAGGAGTGTTTTGGGCATCGCTACTAGTAACAAGAAGCTACTAGGGGCTCCTGGCATCGCTACTAGGAACAAGAAGCTACTAGGAGCTTTTACCATTTAACAGGCTTTCACCATAATATGTAACACACCTGGCGCGACCAAAATCAGGAGCACTTAAGATCGCATGTGTAAAGCTAAGTGTTACAGCTCCAAATCCGCTGTTATGTTTGAACGGATCTAGGACCCATGGTGTCCCTTCGCGAGGCCACACGGTCCGTATTCGGCACACGAACGGTGGAACGCATGCTTGGTGTGCCATATGTGTCAGGGTTGCCACAAAGAGATCAGCAGCATTCAAGAGCCCCAAAGGACAAAACCAAGAGCAGCCACGTTGACCCCGAAAGCACGTGGGAGCAAGAAAGAGCATGCTGCACAGCAAGAAACACCAGTCCCATTGATCGATGGTATTTCCATACACTATCATACACTGTATGTCCACCATCCGTCAAGCCCGGGACTCTCAAGACAAACAAACCTTGCAAAAAACAAAGTATCAACACTTGGTTCTTTGCCGAATTATGTTTATTGATGTTTATTGCTGTTGGAGTTTCGTTTGTTGGAGATATCGGGCTGCATTGCCGCTGTGCGAGCATGTGGCTTCCCATGCACTTGCTTCCAAAGTGTTTTCTGGGCACTTGTAGCTTCTATAGCTACTAGTAGCGATGCCCTTGTTACTAGTAGCGATGCACGTGTAGCTTCTAGCTACTATAGTTGGGATCTAACGGCGCAACTGTGTTTGAGCGCAGTTGCTGTGGAATTACTTTCTCATAGAATATGTGATGGGTGTTGTCTACATCCGACATTTCGAGAGCTTTCTGGTTTGACCATCTGAAGTTCTGCCTATGTGTGACCCAGGCCCACCGAATTAGTTGCGTCAGGTTTTGTTGGTGTATTTTTGGTGGATTTTGTGTTTGTTTGAGTTTGTTTGAAGCGTTTTTTTTTAAATACCAGTTGTTTTGTGAAGAACGCTTGGATGTATTTTTCCTGTATATAGCCTTGAATCGGAATTTACAAGGCTCTTCGGAGTGTGATGCTGCAAGTCTTAAACAAGCCTCGTGTTCAGCTTGGACTCGGCCAGAGTGGTACCATGCTGTGCTTTCTTGCGCACTCAGTCGAACGAAGGATGATACGGATGGATGGTACCATGCTGCCGAAAAAACCGTGACCTGGCCCCCTTTGAGACTTCCCCCCCGCCTGCGAAACACCGGTGCTAAAGCACCGTGACCTGGCCTTCCCTTGGAGACCGTGACCGTTCCGTGCTTGGTGACCCGTCGCGCGGGACCTCGCGCGCCGAGGAGAGAGCAGAAGGTCCAACCCGTCGCGCAGCGGGGCTTCGATGCGGTCTCCTTCGTGAGGCGACCGACGGCGGGACCGACGGACCGCCGTTGGGCGGTCGGTAGACACGGTGTCTACGGAGTTGGGCGGGTCACAGCGGAGTGGAAAAACGCGGAGTCTTAGGTGATCAAACTGAAGTGACTGAGAATGGCAAGGAGATGCCTAGCACAGTTTCTAAGCACAGAAGCCAAATATTCCTGCCTCCTGACTGGGTTTGACTATCACAAAACTCAAAAACTGGGTGTTGCAGGTCAAGGACCAGGTGCTTCACGGTAAAGCCAGGGTTGGTGGTGTGACCAGTTACCAGTCTTTCACGTCCGGGCAACGCTTTCAGCAAGGGCAACGCTTTCAGCAAGGTCTTGGTGTGGGAAGAGAAGGGCAAGCCCACGAAGGAATGAACCATTGGTGCAGATGATTCTGGCAACAGCCCAATGATTCACATGACTGCCTAAAAGAAAAGGCCAGCGGGTTGATGAACGGCGGTGATGTCGGTAGATGGCAATCGAAGGCCCTAATTGGCAAAGCCATGCAAAGCCTGAGTCGGGTCCATCGCATGGGGGCCTTGGCCAGGTGGAAGGTCAACAAGCAGTTGAAGCAAGCGATGCAGGCCAGGTTTGGGAACCATTTTCCATGTTAGGTGGAATGTTTATATACTTCATGTTCAGGCTTACCTCACCTGGTATGGCTCGAGTACTTGGAACTTGGTGGTGGAAAGACTGCCATGTTCAGGGCTCTCAGAATCACCTACTTCATCACCAGTTTTGGAAGCCTGCTTTTGCTGGGAAAGCAACAGAAGAGAATAAGCCAAGATTGCAGGAGTTCCTAGAGGATGTGCGGAGCGAAGATGATGAATCTCAAAAAATCTCACACAGAGGGTGACTGGAGTGGAAGAAACAAAAACTAGTGAAACGTGTTCTGCGGAGCCACTATCGAACCAATCCCATCAAAGAAACACTGGGCTACATGGAGGGTTGGAAGAAATGCCAGCTGTGACGGCTGGTAGTTTGGCCATGTTTGGCCAAGCACTGTGGGAGTGAAACTGTGAATCATGTGAATCATGAGCTGTGTTTTCGGCCAGCTGCCTGTCCACTTTGAAGGTCAGCATGACAGACTCTTTAGCAGGAAAAGGTGAAGGACTCCCTCAAAATCCAGAATTATTTTCAAACACGGTCACCTGCCAGTGACTGGGTCACGCACATGGAGAGTTTGGACCACCCACTGCCCGATTGCGTGGTGAATCTTCTTCGCATCTAAACAGAGCAAAAACCACAGATGTTTCACCACTCATACTACAACATGGCAGAAAAGCTGTTGATCTCTAGCAGTTTTACCACCCCTAAATGTGTCTTTTGCTCAGCAGCGCGCGACCATGTCTTCATCTCTTCATGTTCAGAAAAGATGGACAACAAAAGAACGTCTCAGTGGTAGTACATGGTCTTCCAGTTCCTTCCATGCCAGACCTGCTTCCATGTCTTCATCCCTTCATCCGCGGATCTATGATCTATTCGTTTCAACGAAACGCTCGGCCCGGTGACGGTCCAGCGCCGTGCAGGAAGCCGAACGTGGTGGCCGCGTGGGTCCCGTGACCCGGGAGCGCACGGCGGGTGCTCCGCCCATTGAGCCTCCGTGGATCGTCGGGGATCAGAGGCCAGGGGCGGGGACGGCAGAAGAGGCACCGACCTTCACCTATATACGGTTCACCCACAAGGCATCCTATGCTACACATCCAACTTAGTGTCTTTTAAGCAGAAAAGGGCTGCTGCACATGCCACCCAGAGGTGCCCCATCAAAAAAGACAGCACAGAGTCAGAGTCTCTCCAGCTTTTTCCTAGCCAACCCCTCAACTCCTGGAGACCATATGCCATTCAGCACCGTGCCAGATACAACAACAGCCTGGAATCCTCCCGTGCGCGCATCGCCAACCTCCGTCCGCGACCTCAGACCCGATGCAGCGCTGTCGCGGCTCTGCTCGGTCCGCCTCGTTTGGGGTGCACCATGGGTATAGGTTGATTCCAATGAGAAGTGCGATTTGGGACACACTGTGTTTGGATGTGTCACAGGCGCGAAGAAGTTGGCGTGAGTTTGGGTTGTTGCGGAGGTGTCTTCTGGATCTGAGAATCTGAGAAAAAAGGGAGAGTCTGGCTTTTTCGTACTGCAATGGTTCGTGCCCACCCCGTTGACCGGCAAGAAGTTACCAGGATGTTTTCTTTGGTGGAATATGCCCTGTCCAGGACAGCAAGCCAAACAGCCAAACACTCAGATTTGATTTGCTTCCCTGGCTGTTTTTTCCAATTAAACAATAACATGGGGCCCTTGCAGCTATAGCGATCCGTTGGACTCCATGATGTTCAAGCGGAGCTTCTCCTGGAGGTTCTTCCAGCCAAAATCCCCCCAAGAAGGACGGGACAGAGGAGGGAAGCTTCGACTCGAGTCTCGCCCTGCAGGTGCCAAGAAGTATCGCGACAAAGTCTTCAACAAGACTGGCTACGGGCGTGGGTGGCGTTTGGCGCTAAGCCGCTCGCTGGCACCCGGCCGGGGGTGGTGGGATCGGAGGAGCGAGCGAGCACAGTCGCGACGACTTCTGGTGGTAGCTTACAGTCGCGGGATGGAAAGGATTGCTTTACGGACCAAAAGTCAGGCCGTCTCAATGTTTTAGCTTAATTTAGCGTAATTTAGCCTTTTGGTTGATTGGTCACCGCACCAAACAAGCGAGTGAGTCTGGGTGATTTGGGTTTTAGTAGGGATTTGCACAACATTCGGAGAGATTCAGAAGGGCCATGCCTGCTTTCTGCGGTCATGGCAGACATGGCTGTGGGTCATGGCACAAGGGGACTCTGTTCCTTACACACTGAAGAGGAACGGCATTCTCTACGAGAACATGAACCAGCTAGGGTTTGGGGATCCGGGTTTGGGCCCACACCCGCCGATAGGAGGATGCAGGAGGAGTGACTTAACATCCAAAGCCACGTATCTTGCCCCTGTTTGGATCCCTTGATCAGTTGTTTTTTTGTTGACCCTCACTTCCACAGAGGGACGCAAAAAAGGTCAAGAACAAGAGACCCTGAAGACCAAACCTTTGCAGCACCGTTGCAACTTCACCGAAACGCCCCAGATGTCTTCGAGCACGTGGATGAACAGTTGGCAAACCCAGACACCTCAGAGGCGGCTGGGGCCGTTTTGTTTGGGAGATCATTTGGGAACGGTTGAGACATTCCCTTGCCCATGTCAAAACCATTTTGACCGATGGCCGATAGCTACACCTGAAGGTCCTGGGGTTACCACCTGCAATTTTGCAAGTTCGCTAGAGCCTCCAAGGGAGACTTGGTGGAGGCTGAGGGTGAAAGGATCCTCTTTTTCTTTGCAGGATTTGATCAGACGTTGGGTCCCCTTAGTAGAGCATCATTTGATCCAAGCATTCGTTGCAGAGGTAACCAATTGACAGCAAGTGTCGAACTGTTTGTTGGGAAGGGTCAAGCACTGGCACCGTTGGAACTTGCCAGAGCACTCTGCCCAAAGTCCTGCCCAATTCTGTTCATACTGTGAAGATCCTACCAGAAGATCGGGCGGTCATAATGTTTGTTTGTTTTCCTGCTGTTTAAGTGCGCAGAAAGTAAGGAAGAAGGGAAGGGAGGGATAGGGATAGGGGAAGGGAAGGAAAGGGAAGGGAAGGAACGAAGATAAGACTAAGCTAGAATTGCAACCCAACGGACCAATGGATGTGTAAAAAACATGGAAAAAAAGCAATCCATGTCAATTCAGCTTCCGTCCCGATTCAGCAATGAGCTGCTTTGCACCCTTTCACGCTTTTTCCGCTGTTTGTGTCCCAGTCGTTCAGTGCTGCATTTGTTCGTGACATGACAGATGGACCGTATAACTTGTAACAGTAACATGCAGCAACTGTAAAGCATGGACACATCAATGATCGATGTGTCCATTCTGCTGCCGCGACGCTAATAGCAGCTAATGCATCTCCACTCCTTTTTGCCTTAGATCTTGCAAGACGGATAGGCATGTACGTAGCATGACCCCAGTCTCCAAGATCTCCCCCGGTCTATGTGGTCACAGTGGCCAGGCAGTAGGGACGACCCCCATACGACCCCCCGTCAGTACTGGGGATGAATCGGACCTGCCGTTTTGCGCAGATTCAGCCGTTCCGCCGTAAGGGTTTCCAAAACCTAAGGCTAAGGGAGAAACATGAACTACACCAAGTTTGGCTTGGATTTGGCAAGATTTTCGGGTGGCGACTTGCGGAAAGACTATGTCAGGACATGTTGAGCATTCGGCCAGAGAATGGATTGAACATGTCTTTCATTCAGGCGTCCATCAACATCCTGTGGACATTTGTATGTGTGGGCCTGAACTTTCAGTCATAAACTAGCCCCATGCTTGCGTCCAGTTACATTTTATTGCGGAGGAACAACTGACCGAAGACGGCTCTTTAAGTTAATGAAGACCTCCATTGGACGGAGAGGTGATGAGTTCTGTCGATGTCTTCCTTAAATTCTCGGACCTCAATTGCCAGGAGAGCACAAGCGGCTCTGCCGGGGGTCCAACGCGGGGGTGCGAAGTCTTTAAGACGGCACAAGCGCTTTCAAGCCACCAGGTATTTGATCGGCTTTTGGACTTGTTGGGCAAAGTTTGGCATTCCAGTTCACCATAGTTCACCTGTACAAAGCGATGCATTTTTGGATTTTGTGATCCAAGAACCCTTCCTGGACAACAAAATGTTCTTGAACCGGTCCCTTTGAAGAAGCTTGGGCATCCAAGGATGTGACATGTTATATAAACCTTTGTACGTGGTCCACGCAGAAAGACGTGCCCAGCTCCAGATTCCTCTACCCCCGCACAGGTGCCACAGTGAGACTCGGCATAGGCATAAAAATAGTTATATTGCCTACTACTAATTTATACTATTAACAATGACAATATTGTTACTTTTGCTGCTACTACTACTACTACTACTGCTACTACTACTTCTTTTTCTTCTACTTCTAATTCCACTTATTTTACTAACCACTACTACTAACTACTAACAACTAACTACTAACTACTACTAAAATTTACTACTTACTACTTGCTACTTGCTACCTACTAAAACGACTACTACTACTACTACTCCTACTCCTTCTCCTACTGCTACTGCTACTTATTATTCTTTCCTACTTCTACTTCCGCTTCTTCTACTAACTACTACTACTACTACTGCTACTGCTACTGCTTCTGCTTCTGCTACTACTACTACTACTGCTACTACTACTACTACTACTACTTACTAACTACTAACTACTAACTCGTAACTCCTAACTCCTAACTACTACTAAAATGTACTACTTGCTACTTGCTACCTCCTCCTCCTCCTCCTACTACTACTACACCACTACTACTACTACTACTACACCTACACCTACACCTACACCTACTACCATTACCACCACAATCACCTACTACTACTACTACTTCTTCTTCTACTTCTACTTCCACTTCTTCTACTAACCACGACTACTAACTACTACAAAAACATACTGCTTACTACTTGCTACTTGCTACCTACGACGACGACGACGATGACGACTACTACTACTCCTTCTCCTTCTCCTTCTCCTTCTCCTACTACTACTACTACTACTTCTTCTTCTTCTTTTTCTACTTCTACTTCCATTTCTCCTACTAACTAACTACTACTACTACTACTACTACTACTAACTACTAACTACTACTAAAGCTTACAACTTACTACTTGCTACCTCCCACTACTACTACTACTACGACTACTACTACTACTACTACGACTACTACCTACCTACCTACCTGTGCAGGGTGAGGAGGTGGATCTTGGAGCAGTGGAGTTGGAGATGGAAGATGCGCTGCCCAAGTACCGAGAGATGCTGAAGCGAATCGCTCAAGATCCGGTCGCGCAGACGGTGCAGTTCGAGTTGCTGATGCGCCTGTTTTTTCAACACGTTCTGAATGTGCGACCAGAAACGCTGGATTGTCGAAGAGGCTACAGTCGCTCAGTTGCCCGAGAATGGTGAAGCGATGGTGCAGCAGCTTCGTCCACTGGCGCCGGCATGTTGGGCCCTGTTTTAGCTTTCAGAGGTGAAATCGAAGCTCAAGGCCGCGGCTCTCTTCATCCACACATTTTGGTCTGGTTGGTCTGCGGTCATTTGGACGTGGTTGGCCAGCTTGCAAGCATGCTGCAAGACAACAAGGAAGAACTACAAGGTCGTCTTCGAGACTTCATGAAAATGACCGTGGCCAGCTTCGAATCGTTGTCACATGCATCTGTGCAGGCATCGCTTCGTATTTTCGATGGTTCCAGTTTGTCCCGAGCTGTCTCTGTTACAAAAGTGGCTCAGAATTTGTCGAAGTACGATGGCGGCAGCGATTTGGATTTGTCGCGGGAGATTTTGGATAGAACACAGGAGCAAGAAGATTACCTGCAGGCTGCTGCCCTGATGGCCTGTGCAAAGACACTGACACAGTTATCGACGAGTGATGTGGCCGCGGCTGCTCGGTTGGTACAGCCTGCTGCTGGTGATTCTATGCAGACTTTGCTGCAAAATACCAGTGTGCCCAAGATTGTCAAGGATGCGTTACAAGCCGTGCAAAACGCATCGGCAACCGTCGTTGGGACCGACGGTCATCGCAGACAGTGCCGGCACGAGGGAGTTGCATATATGGAGACATTTGGACCACCGTTGATTTTTCTCACGCCCAATGTCGCGGATACGCAGCATCCTTTGCTTCCCCAGAGTACGCCTTAATGAAAAAATTCAATAAAGTTATTGAAAAAGGTTGTTGTTATTGAAATGAACTTTTTATTGGTTTAAACCAATAAGGAAGATAGTGTTTCTTATTGAAAATTTCAATAAGACTGTATTGAAAATTTCATTAAAGTTCTACGTAAAGGATCACGGGTAGTTTCACCACTTTTGCAAGTTTGCTGAGGACTTTGACCCTAAGAGGTTAACGCTTGGCCAAATTTGGCTCAAGGCTGACAAAAGGAGAACCGCGTAAACACGTGGTTATCAGCCGTACGCTCTAGTTTCCCTTCGGTGCAGCTTGCCATTGCGCTTGCGCTGGTGCTGCTGACCTGCATCCTTGAGACCCACCTCCCATTGTTCCTTGTACTTGACATCAGCCTCTTGGAGTGTACGGGTCGTGGTTGGAATCGGTTGCGGAAGGGCGGTGGATGCCCAGAGGGGAGAGGGGTGGAAAGAAAGTCCGTAGGTCTGAAAACTTGACTCGCGAGACTGAGTCCGGGTTACACCATCCCAAAAGGGCACCATCCAGTTCCACGGGGGTTAGCCGATATAACAGGGTCTTAGGAGAGGTGGCATTCGAAGCAGCCAAAAGCAAGACATCGTCGGCCCCTCTTACCCCGCCAAAGGAAAGCAGGGCAATCCCAAAGAGTACCCCGGAAGAGCCCGAGGACGTTTTGGAAATCATCACAACTAGTGTCAGGACCATCCAATTGCCCCCAGCTCCTCCTCCGAAAGCAACGTGTTCGGCAAATAGTGAACCTGCTGTAGCGAAACCCATTGCATCCTCAAAAGCATTGGTGACCCCGGTGACAGTAGGCACAGAGGTTCAGGTGGTTGGTGAAACGGTGTCCAAAGCTTCCCAAAAGAGGGATCTGACGGTTGAGATTCTTGACAGTCCCAAAGCGAAGCGAAAGGCTTGGCTATCGGCGCCTTGTGCAGCGAACCAGGAAGTCTGGGTGTCGTTTGACTATAACCACGTGTGCAACGTAGCACAGGTCGGTGACCGCCCAATTGACACCATCCATCCCTTGAATTCGGTCGCTCTTCGAAGCTTCATCGATCGAAATTCGGATCGAGGATTTCGTGTCGGTATAACCTCGTACATAGGTGAAGCGGGTCCACACTCGCAGTCGCGTCGTCACTCTCTGCTGCGAGCAGTCAGGGAGTTCAACGGGAATCAACCGGATCCTGAGAAACGGGTTGGGGTTCGTGTGGTCAACAAACCATACGACAAAGCACCCTTTTTGTCCAGGGCCGGGGCCGCAGTTCATGTCGACGATCGCATAGACATCTTAAACAAGATTGAAGGCGACTGTGTGACCATTTGGCTTTCAACTGCAGCAAGGTCAGGTCACTTGCTTGTTTCCTCGTTGCCTCAGGCGCTCACGTTAATTGAGGAACGTGCTAAGGCGACTTTGCATCAGCAGGACTTTGAGATTTTCTGGCAATTTCCGTAACTGGGTATTTGGTCTCTGCAGCGTTCAATACTTGAGACTTGCCTTGCGCTTGCGCGGGAAGTCCGGGTGGCGGATTGGTATACTGTTTCTGCCTAGCGCTTGCGCAGGGGATTCAGTGGTCAGGTGGTTTTAATGGACGAATCATCTAGCACTAGTTTCGCAATCACCTCAAGTAGCTCAGGAGTCCCAGGATTGCCAGTACAAGGATCAGCAGACAGGTCATCGTCGGGAGATTCAAGTTCCAGGTCAAGTAAGGTGAAAAACAAACCCAAGACAACCTTGTCAAAAAGAACTCCGGTACCTCCTTCCTTTCGAACCCCAAGACATAGTGGACTTCGACCAATCTCAATGGAAGGAGCACAGGATTCAATTGAGGACACCCAGGATCATGCTCAAGGTAGTGGATTGCCATCTAGGTCAGTTGAGTTTTCTCAGCAAAATGAACAGCACAATTCCCAAACCCATCAAAAATTCCATGACCAAAGGACTGTAAACGTAGATCAGAGGCAGGTTCACATGCATGGTCCGGACCCTAACTTGATCGGTCACTTGGCTGCAACAGCGGCGAGCTCAGCTATGAGAGCAGAAGCCACAGAGGCAGTGGCCCAAGCTCGAGAGATGACCCTCTCAGCAGTGTCAGAAATGAGGATCTCTCAGGCCAAGGAGTCTATGATGGAAGTAGAGCTTAGGAATCTGTGGGCTCAAGTGGAGGCACTTAGAGAGGAGAATCACGGTCTCAGGATTTTTCAATCTCGCACCTTGGAGTCAGATGCCAACCATGAGGCAAGTAATGGCTCGGAATGGGGACAAAGAGTGGTTGAAATTGAAAATCACATTGTGAACAGCATCACACCTCGATAAGTTCAGTTGGAGGAAATGATGGGGGTCATGAGGAACGTGGATTCTTGTTACAACAATTGGGTGGTTCCACAGCGCAAGAATTTGGAAGCCAAGTTCACGGAATTGCAACACAAGATTGAAAGCCATCAGAATTTCATTCAAGAGTTGTGGTATGATTGTAACCCACGTGAACCCGAGGAAGCCCTTGAAATTCCCAACTTAGGCGCTGGTCAGGTGGTTAACACTCCTACAAACCACAATCCTCCAAGTCATTTCAGGATTCATGAGGATGATGGGGATGGCAGTGATGGGGGAACTCATGGAGGGGGTTCGGATGCTGGAAATGATGTTGAAAAGAGAGCCCTGAGGGTCAAGGAGTTGCACCATTTGAAATTGCCAAGTTTACCGGAATCGGCAGCACAGTATCGAACCTGGCGCAACGCAGTGCGCACGGCCATTGTAGCTTTTGATCAAAGTTA